AGAAGGATAGAGGAGCCCCTCAGGATGTGCCCAAGGTCCTGGACTTAGACCAGCTTTGTCCCTCCCCAGAGCTGCTATAGCATTTGACTGGCTCAAGTCCCAACTTTAACTCTCACCAGTGGCCAGCTAACTACTGATTGCTGTTGAGCATACCTTTTTCCAGTACTGGGGATCAAACCCAGGGCCTTGTGCATACTAGGTAAGCGCTCTACCACTGAGCTATAGCCCCAGTTCTACTGTTCAGTCCTGTCACTGTCACAGCAAGGAGGTGACCTGTAGTCAGTCCCACCTGGGTGACTTTCAGGAGCTTACTACCTATACTGTGCCCTGCCCTACCCTCTGCAATATGAACATTGGTGCTCTCCTCTTGGAACAAGGTCAACAAGCTGACACTCTGGGCTGAGAGTGGGTGACATCAGGAGCTCAACAGAGTTATGGGAGTGACTGGGGACCTGGAGAAATACGTGCCAGTTTAAGCTAGCCTGGGAAGAGAGGGCAGCCCTCTGCCTTCACGATAGATCCCAGAGGCAAGTCAGCCACAAGTGGAGTGGCAGAGGCCCATGACAGAAGCAGAGGCCAGGAGATGAAAGTACAGAGCCGGCAGCCTCTCCCAGGAAGCCTCTCCTCTCCTTTTCTCTTCTGTCAGGAAGGCCTCGATCTCCTGCTACAACAAGTTTCGCCTTCGGGCCCAGGCCGGAATCACAGGTAGCAGCAGACCTGCCATCACAGAATGATTCCAGCAAGGTAAACAGTCACCCTCACTCAAACCAGGTCCCCTCGTCCATTTTCTTTGTTTACAGGACCCACAAAAAAAATCTATAAACAGCCACTAACACATTCCACTCCTCACATTTTCTTCTGATGCGTTGCAGTACATGAGCATGTGTAGACCAGTGGGTGTGTCCTCTTCTCAAATTTGCTCGAAACTGACTCTATTCTAAACATGTAGACATTGATCTGAACCTGCAGCGGGACATACAGGTTAGAAGGTGGGATTTGGAGGAAAGCAGACATGACTCAAGTCTCAGGCAGGCAAGCTATATGACCTGGGATAAGCCATCTAACTTCTCCAGGCCTCAAATTCCCCATCTGTTAAATAGAGATTACAGCGCTCCTCCTGCTAGGCCAGAATAAGAGTAGAAGGGGGCCAGGCATGGTAGTATATGTCTTTAATCCCAACACTGAAGAGGCAGAGGCAGAGATGTGAGTTCGAGGCCAGCCTGGTCTGCATAGTGAGAGTCTATCTAAACAGAGTGGAAAGGGATGTCACACATGCCAGATTCAATTTAGGAACTTAGCTATGTCAATGTCCTTGCAGTCCCTCTTGCAGAGATCCAGAACAGGCATGGAGCTTCCCTGTTTGGGGTGTTTGCTTTAGCTGTTATATAACAAGTTATCCCAAAACTTAATGGCTTAGGTAACCACAGGCATCACCTCCCAGTTTCTTTTCTTGGGAGTCTAAACACAGCTCAACTAAGTCCTCTGCTTTCAGGTCTGTCCAAGACTACCTTTGGGATGCTGAGCAGGGCTGAGATCTCCTCTGAACATTCCACACAGGAAGGTCTTGCTTTGAAGCACAGATGGTGATCAGCAGGACTGTGGGGCTGGGGAGACTAGCTGGTCTTTGCCACATGGGCCTCTCCAGTGTAGCAGTGAAAGTGAGAAGGCAATGGAGAGTCAGCCAGCAAGATTGAAGTTTTGTCTTTGGTCACTTGAGCACTGAAGTGACAGTCCATCACCCCCACTGTATCTGATGGTTAGAAACAAGTCCATACTCCACGAGGGACATGAATGCCAAATGATAGAAATCTACAGGTGTGAAGGGGTCACTTTGGAGTCTACCTGATATAGCATGGTACAATTCAACCAGCATTTTTCTGGTGTCTCTTAGGCACACAGGAGTCCTGGTTCCCATCTTGTAGAAACTTTTTGTGAGAAGTGATTTCCGCTTCATGCTCTTACTTTTCCTTGCTGTGGAGGATCATTCTTAAACAGGAAGCTACTAACCCTATATTATAAATGAGACAAGCAGGTCATCTTCCTCCATCACAGGGGGAGGAGGGAGAACTCTCTCTAAGAGGCATCAGGAGAGAGGAGGTCGCCTTTCTGGGCATAGACCAGGAGAACAGAACCAGCCCTGTCTTTAGCATGCACACAGGGCAAGGGGCGAGCAGGAAAGCCACTGGCCAGCCTGGAGAAGGGAAGCATGCCACAATGGAGTTGGCACAGCATCTCTTCTTCAAGCAGAAAGAGTTGCACCCAACAGCTGAGAAGTTGACTCAAGCTCTTCCCTCTCTGTTGCAGGAGATCCTGGAGTCTTGATTTTACCCTAGTGAAGTTGTCCTGCCCACACAAATACCTCTTCCCAACAGGTGACTTTTGACATCATGGATGCCATAGAGGCTGTTGTAAGGAAGTACCAGATTCAAAGGCTTTTGTGAAAAGGCAGCTGCTGTCAAAGGACTGTCACCCTCCCTGGCTGGTGACAGGCTGCTACTCAATCCCAAACCTTCCTCCTCTTGGCCACAATGCTGGACTCAGTACCCAGGCTGGCTCAATCTCCTGTTCTCTGGCCTATAAAACAGATGTCTCAAAGTGAGCCAACCAGAGTCTTTCTCTGGGATGCTTTTCTGGGTGAAGCTGATCTGAAAGAGACATCTTCCCCAGTTGTCAGAATACATAAAGATTCCGGAGACAGCCAGTGGCCATGTAAACAGCCATGGGGTTGGGCGGGGGGTGCTGTGGAGACAGAGACAGAGAACCGAATTTTTGCTTACTGCCTTCTGCTTTCTAGATAGTCAAACCAATAAATCCCTTTTTTATTGACTTGAAATAGTTCAAATTGAGTTTTCTATCGCTTGCCAACAGTAGAGTCCTAAAACACAAGCCTATCATTTCACTACTAGAATTCAAGACAAAGCTCAGGGCTCAGATGTAGTTCAGTGGTGAGAAAACTTGCCTAAAATGCACAAAGCCAGGGATCCACTCTTAGCACACCACACACAAAGATAAAAATACAAATCTTCCTGGGAGAGGTAATCCAGGAGTTCAACTTCTTAGTAAAGTATAAATGATTGCTAGTAGATTCTTTCTTGAGGAAAAAACTGTAATTAAAGTTTATCTGAAAACATACACTATAAGGCTACAAGTGCAGTCAAGACATCTTTTGCCACGTGTACAAGGACTTGTAATTCCAATTCAGGCCTGATCTGAATCCTGATTCTACATCTAGCACCCCACCTCACTTCTCTGGGCATCCATTTCCTCATCTCTAAGATGGGACTATTGCCCTTCCTATCTTATGAGGTTGTCATATAGAAAAATACTGACATAATTTTGATTCCCTAGAGACAATATCACATGTCACAACAAGCACTTGTTTTTAGATAGCAGCTCACTATGTAGCCCATGCTATTCTGGAACTCATAGTCCTCCTGCCTCAGCCTTTGAGTGTTGGGGCACAGGATGCACCACCACACCTGGCACAAGTGGATCTTAATACAGAATATCTGGGTAAATGCCAATGGAAAAAATTGTGCTCAAGCAACTGCCCAGAAGAGCTTGGCATAAAGATAATGGAAAACAGGAAGGGTAGACGGGCTGAGACATGCACATCAGCTACAGGACAGTAGTCAGTCTATGCCACACATGGGTGAGTCCATCAGTTACATCAACACCTCTCTGGATTAACTGACTCCTAGCTAATTTAATTTCTAGATTTTTATCTCTCTTTTTAAAAAAAATTGCATATAAGACCAGGCATGGTGGTGTACACCTTTAATCCAAGCACTTGGGAGGCAAAGGTTGGTGGATCTTTGTGAGTTTGAGGCCAGCTTGATCTATACAGAGAGTTCCAGGCTAGCCAGGGCTATATAGTTAAGACCCTGTCTCAAGAAGAAAAAAAAAGTTAGCATATAAATTAATTTTTGAAACAATAGAGAAGCATAAAAGTAAAGTAACACTTCCCATCTAGTCCTGGTTACCTGAGATAACCAAGCTAACCACACTTATGTTTCCACCCTCAGCCTTTTAACCCAACTGCACTTTCACAACAGGTCTAACTAGAAAACACTGCTCCCCACTGGCTGGTGGTTTTTATTTAATTAACATCTTGAAGGCCTTATCCTACCATCTACGTAAGGCTTTGTTTGTTTTCAGATTTTTTTTACATTTATTTGTGTATATGTATGTATATGGAGTGTATATGGTTCACAGTGCATGTGAAGGTCAGAGGACAACTTGCAGGAGGTGGTTCTCTCCTGCTTGCTATGTGAGTCCTGAGGCTGAACTCAGGTCATCAGGCTTGGCAACAAGCACCTTTAACCCACAGAGCCATTTTGTTTTGCCTGCATGTATGTAAGTGGTACCTGCAGGGGCGAGAAGACGGCGTCGATCCCCTGGAACTGTAGTGAAGGAGGGGTGTTGGGTGTTGGCCACCCAGCTGGGAACCTAACTCAGGTCCTCTGGAAGAGCAGTAAGTGCTCTTAATTACTGAGCCATCTCTCCAGCCCCCCTTAAATTAGAACCTCTTAATCACCTGTGTTCTTCTGTCTGCTGGATCCGATGCTGGTGGGGTTCAAGAAATATTGTTAAAAGAAATAAAAACAAGCCGGGCGTGGTGGCGCACGCCTTTAGTTCCAACACTCGGGAGGCAGAGGCAGGCGGATCTCTGAGTTCAAGGCCAGCCTGGTCTACATAATGAGTTCCAGGACAGCTGGGGCTACAGGGAGACCCTGTCTCAAAAACATAAAAAATAAAAATATAAATATAAAAGCAAAGCAAAGTGGAAATAGGGAAGACGAGTCGGGAAACGAGGGAAGAAAGCAGAGGAGAAAGGAAAGGAGACAGAGAAAGAAAAAAACGAAGGTGCATGGGAGAGAAAAACCGAGAGACAGGCCCCGCCCCAGACTCGGCCCCGCCCTCGGCCTCAAGCTGCAGTGCCACCTCCGGCCGCCAGGCGCCGCCACGCGCGGTCGCCCGCACCCCGCGCGCTCGTAGCGGACTCTCTCTGCGCGTCCGCTGGCCTCTCGCCGCCCCGCCGCAGCTGTCGCGTTCTCCGGCCGTGTCTAGCGCGGTCTTCTCGTGGGGAGCCTCGCGCCGCTGGGCGCGTGTCGTCCCCCTGCCTCGCGGCGCGGGTTCTCGCGGGCCCCGCTCCCGCCCTCCGCTCGCCTGGCCCGGACCGGAAGCGGCGCCGCACGGCCTGGGCCTGGCGCGGGGGGCGGGCATAGGGGCCCGATCGGACATGGGCAAGAAGCACAAAAAGCACAAGTCGGACCGACACTTCTACGAGGGTGAGGAGCGGGGCCCGGGACTGAGGCCCGGGGAAGGCGGCTCCGCGCGGACGGCCAGCTCTTGAAGCCGCCGGCCCCGACCCCGGCGACCCCCGGGGGCCGGCGTTCGAACCGGGTCCGGCCCCGGAGGGTGTCGGTGGGGAGCTGGGAGGCCGCCGCCCAGGCCCAGGCGTTCGGGAGGCCCCGCGGCCCGGTCTGTCATTCAGCGGGTGCTCGGGCCGGCTTCGACCTGTCTGGGCGCTCGCTCAGCCGGCCCGGCGTTCAGGCCCGCGAGCCCCGCGGCAGCCCGCGCCCTGCTTCTGTTTCAGATTACGTGGAGAAGCCCCTGAAGCTGGTCCTCAAAGTAGGAGGGAACGAAGTCACTGAGCTGTCCACCGGCAGCTCCGGCCACGACTCCAGCCTCTTCGAAGACAGAAGCGATCATGACAAACACAAGGACAGGAAACGGAAGAAGAGGAAGAAAGGGGAGAAGCAGGCTCCCGGCGAAGAGAAGGGGAGAAAACGGAGAAGAGTCAAGGTAAAGCTGACTGCGGTGCTTAGGGCCCCATCTCCGGGTCCCTGCTTCCTCCAACCAGCTGTGTGACCAGCCAGACCCAGCAGCGCCTGCACAGTCGGGCTTGGAGGAGGCACGAGACAGTAGCAACCAGAATCACCAGTGAGCTTAATTATACTGTTGCGCTCTTGTCCTGCCCCCACACATCAGGTCAGCAGCACAGTCCTGGTTTTCAGGAGTAGCTGGACGGGTAAGAAGTCTTGCTCCACAAAGCCTTATTGTTGGAGATTTGTCCAACATAGTAGTTCAGACGTGAATAGAAACTACTGTCGTTCAAATGTTCTGAAATATTTCAATGCCAGATCTTTGAGCTGCAGGCAGTGGCACATACTGTAATCCCAGCACTCCTGCTGAGGCAGGAGCATGTTGAGTTCCGGGCGAGACTGTTGCTTAATGAGACCCTGTCTGGAAACAAAAATAGTAAAGTCGGAGTCTGTCAAAGAGAATGTGATTAGTAACACCAAGAATAGAATTTTTTTATTAATAAGCGCTTTCTTAACCATTTGCATTTATCAGAAGAATAAGTAGTGTCCTGATTTACAAGGTAGGCAAAATAATAATAACTTTGTTAAGGATGATCTTGTCCAAATCTGGAATTGTTCTAATCCTTCATGTAGGATTAATTTTATTAGTAATGAGGTTATTCAAGCGTGTAGATTTTGACAGCCAAGGGGCCCAGCAAGGTGTCTCAGTGGTAAAGGTGCTTGCCACCAAGTCTGATGATCCCAGGTCCCAGGACCCACTTGGTGGAGGGAGAGAACCAACTCCCACAGATTATTCTCTGACCTACACATACACACTAAATTAATACATAAGTGCAATAATAAAATACTACCAGGCTTTTAACAAAATCAAGCCCCACTCCAGCATAGAGTTTAATACTACTTAAACATCTTAATTTCTCTTTGGATATTTATCTCCATTTTCTAAATGTTGGTTTATATTGCTTTTTAATGACTTGTGATTTTACAGCTTTTACTGATGTAAGGAAGGTGAGAATTTAAGGTTAATATAGCATGTTTATGCTGTTCCGTATGCCCAGTTTTTCTTTGTCCTCTCTCACAGTATAGGTGTCTTGATTACTGGTTAAATCAGTACCATGGTTATTTTAAATTATTATTCACTGGAGACAAAATAGTCAAATACAAATCTGAACTTGACCAACCAGTGAAATGCATTCATTAGTTATGTCTAATTCTTCCCAAATGAAAATTTTTTTTTAAAACCTAAGTTCTGTTCTTTAGGAGGCTTTATTTTTGTTTGTTTCAGGCTTCCATCTTTGGCCTTTGGTCTCCTGTTGTAGGCTGGATTACTTGTTCTCTAAACTTCCAGAGTCTCCCTCTGGATCTCATGACTTCATTTATTCCTTCAATCTGTTCTGGTGGAGTGTTGCTTCTAGGAGCATAGCCCCCCACCTCTACCAGAACCAAACCCATTGAACTAAATCCCCAACCCCTAGAAACTTTTTGTTTACTTTTTTAAAAACATCATCTTGCTATAAGTAGCCCAGGCTTTCCTGAAACTCACTGTATAATACAACACAGGGTAGTTATAACATTCTGTTTTCAGCCTCCTCAGTGCTGGCATTACAGGTGTGTGCCACCACATCTGGCTTAGAAACTTAAAGTATGTGTGGGTAGATTTTTGTAAATTTTTCCACATTTGAAAACCTTTACTGTAACACACACACTTCATACAGGTTCAGAGTTTGAGTCAGTGTGGGATTTTATTTTCTCAGAATTTTAAATATTTATTTGTGTGTGCACGCTCACATATGTGCAGGTGCCCATGGAGACCCAGATCCCTTGGAGCTGGAGTCACAGGTAATTATGAGCTGCCCCATGTGGGTGCTGGGAACCAAACTTGGGTGTTCTCAAAGAGCAACAAGAACTCTTAACCACTGAGCTACCTCTCCTGCCCCTTCTCCCAGAATTTTAAAAACACAGCTATGATTCTGACTGCCATTCAAAAGCCTGTTGCATTCTGATTCTTAGTTCTTTATTTATGACCAGTACTGGCTTTCTTGGAATTTTCAGGATCATCGTAAAAATTCAGTGTTCTAATGTTTCACGGTGGATACTTGGGCCTTCAGTTCTGAGATGCGTGTTTAAAATATTTGTGATAAATTCTTTCCCTATTTTCTGCCATTTAGATGTTGAGTTCATAGCCAATACTCTAATTTTCTTGTTTCCTTCCTTGGTTTTTTGTGTTCTCCAAGGGAATTAATCTTCTGAGCCTGATCATCTTAACAAGCTTCCAGGTCACTTGGATATTGGTGGCATAGGGGTCACACTTCGGGAGTGACTGAGGTAGAATTTGCAGTCTCTCCCTGGGCCCTATCTCATACCTGTGGATCAGTAGTTCTGAGGATGCAAGCTAGCTACCTGTGTGTTAACAAGATCTTCAAATGATTCTAGTATACAGTGAAGCTTAGAACCATAAAGAAACCCAGGATTGGCATTTCTGGCAAATTCTTAGATAATGCTGTTACTGCTGTCCCAGGGTCCATGCTTTAAGAAGCATGGTCTTGTATAACCATGATGAAAAAGGACATAGGCCAAAAACATGGGTATTACTTAGCTCTTAGCTAAAAATCTGGACTTTCATTAGGACTGGAGTGATGGCTCAGTTGTTAAGAGTACTGGTTACTTTTGCAGAGGACCTTGATTCAGTTCCCAGCACCTACACAGCAACTAACAATCATCTGAACTCCAGTTCCGGGGGATCTGATGCCCACCTTCTGGCCTCCAAGGGCATTGCCGTGACATGGGTGCATTTACATACATGCAGGCAAAACACACATAAAATAAAAATATAAAAATACGGACTTCCCTGATCATTAAGTGGGCATTTTGGACCATTTTACTTCAGAATTTCATTTTGAAAAATAGAATCCAATATTGGTGATGTAAACCTGTAATCCTAGCACTTAGGAGGCTAAGGCAAGAAGATCACAGGTGAGAGCCTATCCTGGGCTAAAATATGAAACAACACAATCTCAAAGAAATATACAGTAGCTGGACTTCATGGCATGTGCTCCTCAGAAGGCTAAGGCAGGAAGATCCCTGGAGCACATGCACTCAAGAGCAGCCTGAGCTGAATGAACACCCCATTCCTGTCTCAAAAGTATAATGTACAGAAAATAATAAAATATCATCTGGATAACAGTACTAGAGCTCAACGTTTTGCATTTTGTTTCATTTTTAATAAAATGAGAGTTCAGACTAACACCTCCTGTGTATTTCAGAATTCCTCTTTTCCTAGAAAGAATCACATCACTATTCAGAATATGTTGTGCTTTTTTTTTTTTTTTTTTTTAAGACAGGGTCTCCCTGTGGCCCCAGCTGGAACTCATTTTGTAAATCAACCTGGCCTGAGTTTCACAGAGCTCAGCCTGCCTCTGCCTCTGGGATAAAAGGCGTGTGTCACCATGCCTGGTTTGTACATACTCTTTTTAAAAAATAATTTTATTCTGCATAAACTATAAAGAATATATGCACGTACATTTTCAGACTGTACGCAGATGATTTTTGTCATAGTTCTGTAACTTTTCCTCTAGTGTAGTTCCAAATATTGTCTATATTGATAGAGTAAAATTGTAGCTCTTTAATCTGTTTTATAAACATGATTTCCAAATAATATTTCAATAAAATTATGTTTCTACATAAGACTGTGCTGTGAAAAGGAACTGCTCTGGACTGAACATGGAAAGGAGCAGAGAATAGGGCAAAGACCTGCCAGCTTTGCAAGGGAATTCTGGTTGCTTTCCAATTGTATCCGTTCCACCATCTACCAGGTCTGACTGTACGTTTCGCTACATTTTTATTAAAACTTGGTTCTCAGACATTTATGTACGTTTATAATTCCTTGAGTCGTAGAGAGCTTGAGCTGGTTTCATGTCCCTTCTGTGAATTTGCTGTAATGTCCTTCTTCTTCTGGTTCCTCTTTACTTGGATTTGTAAATGTGCAGTATGTACTCTTTATTAACCTTTTATGAGTATTTGTTTCAAGTACTTCTTCCTAGTCCTTAGCTAGATTTAGCATGGTTTATTGGCTTTATTGAGGCACCAAAATTTATAAATTAAGTGTTAAATTTGGGCTGGAGAGATGACTTGCTTGCTGCTCTTCCAGAGGAACCAGGTTCAGTTCCCAGCACCCATATTTGGCAGCTCACAACTGCTTGAACTCCAGTGCCAGGGGATCAAACAACCTTTTCTGGCCTCTATAGCCACTGCAGGCACATGGTACACATACATATACTCAGTCACACATTAAATAAATCTCCTAAAATGTCAGATTTGTAGTTTGGTTCTTCTAGTTCATTTAAGAAAAAAATTCCCTTCTCTTGGGTCTCAAAGATTATTTTTATATGAAGTTCTAAAACTTTGCTTTGTGGATTTAAGTCTTTATTTGGAATTTTTGTGTATTGCATGAAGTAGAGATGTAATTTTTTTTCCCTATTCATGTAAACAACAGTTGTGCTGACTTATAATGCTATCTCCATGATGTAACAAGTATCCCTATGTGTATGGGTTGGTTTCTGAGATTTCTGATCAGTTCTATTCTGCTTATTTATCCCTGTGTCCACATTGTCTTAATTACTACCACTTCACACAAATGCTTAATATTGTTAAGACATACCATCTTTTGTTTACTTGTTTGGTTGCTTCCAGTGCTGGAGATAGAACCTAGCCAAGTCCTCTTTGATGTTAGGCAAGTGCTTTACTAGTGAACTGCACCCTCAGCTCCACATTTTAATTGGGCCTAAAAAGTCCTGTTTGAAATTTTGGCATTCTATTGGATTTGATTACTTTGGAGAGAATTGACTTTGACTTCATGAACCTGGCATGTCTTTGCCATATCGTCTACTATTTGTTGTTTTCACTAGTGTTTCATGGTTTTTCCCGGAAGATTGTGGGCATCTTTTAGGTTTGTTCTGAGATACATTATATTGGTTTTTAAATAGTATTATTTTCCAGTTGTTATTTCTAGCATAGAAAAGTGCTTTTTCTCTCTTTATGAATACGTTCTTTCTTTGTTCAGTAGATGGCAAAAAAATAGGCTAAGATTTCTTAGTCTGGTTTCTTTTCAGTGGTACCTTTTCCCATTTAAACCAGAATGGCATGTGTTTAAAGATGTTGATTATGAAATACTTCTAAATTGTTTCCCTTTGTTCCATTTAGGAGGATAAAAAGAAACGAGACCGAGACTGCATGGAAAACGAGGCAGAAAAAGACCTCCAGTGTCGTGCCCCTATAAGATTAGACTTACCTCCTGAGAAGCCTCTCACAAGCTCTTTAGCCAAACAAGAAGGTTGGAATAAATCTGAACTGTCTGTCCGGAGTGAGGGGACTGAAGTTTTTAGAGCTAGGGGGAGTGACTGAGCTTCGGCTTCTAAGTTAAAGCTTAAAGACTTTGGAATGAAACTTTTAAGTGATCCTAATTGTCTTGCTGTTTAAAAACTTTAAATTTTAAATTGCTTAAGCACATTTTTATGATAAATGTAATTTCTCTATGAAATATTTAGTAACAGGCGTAGATGAATCTTGGAGATAGAAAACTGAAGTACTAGAATACGCATTTTTAACACTGTTTCCTGTGTTTGCTTCAGAAGTTGAACAGACACCCCTCCAAGAAGCTTTGAATCAGCTGATGAGACAATTGCAAAGGTAACTCTTTCCCAACTTCTTTGTAAGATGGTAACTGAATGGGTAAACATAAAAATCCAAACCACTCTCAGGTTTTGGAAATCTAAGTGTACTTGATTTTAAAGTAGATGGTAAATATTTTCCCTGGCAATAGAGTGGTGACTTAGATGTTCTTATTTGGTTTGTTTTAACCAAATCTTGAAGAGTGTTGTGTAATGGCTAGCTTCTCCTTAGCAAGCAGATCTTTGTGAGTTGGAGGGCAGCCTGGTCTACGTAGCGAGTTCCAGGACAGCTGGGGCTACAGGGAGACCCTGTCTCAAAAAGACAAAAAAAAACTTGAAACCAAGAATAGCAGTGCAGATACTCCCACTTTGCTAGTAATGGAAAGTTCTGTGTATGCAGCACCTGTGCTCTGGTGCTCAGCAGCTACCAAGTCTGCAAGGTAAAATGAAATGCCTGAAAGTCATGCCCCTCTTTTAGTGTTTTCTTTTATTGAGACAGAGTCTCACTACGTATCCCAGGTTAGCCTGGAACTCTACATCTTTCTGCCTTAGCCTCCTGATTGTATGTGTATGCCACTATGCCTGACTTTATACTCCTTTCAGATGCAGCAGTTCTCAAAAATTCTAGTAGGAAAATTAAACCAATGTTAAGTTTTTAAAGGGAAAAGAACTATCAATATTGAAATTGCAATGTTGATAAAACTTTTTATTCTGAATTTTTAATTTGTTTTTGTTTTTTGATTGGGGGGCGTTGTCATTTTGTTTGAGTTTGTTTGGTTTTGGGGTTTTTGTTTTTGTTTTTGAGACAGGGTCCCTGTAGCTCCAGCTAGCCTATAACTCCCTTTGTAGACCAGCTGACCTACACAGAAATCTCTGTCTCCTGAGTACTAGGATTAAAGGTGTGTGCTACCATACCTGACTCTACTCTGAATTTTAACTCAAAAAGATTTATTACCCGAGAAGATTCATAATCATAGGCCATGTGAACTTTCCTCCTTGTTGTGTTACATGTCAGTATAGAACACATCACAACTATTTCTTAAGCTGAAGTTTCTAATACAGTTTATATTCTCAATACCTGTCCGGCTTTTCAATTAAAATTAGCAGTTACTGGCTTCGTTTTTGGTGTTAGAACAGCTTAAAAGGGGGCTGGAGAGATGACTCAGTGGTTAAGAGCACTGGCTGCTCTTGCAGAGGACCTGGGTTCAATTCACAGCATCCATATGGCAGCTAACAGCTGTCCATAACTCCAGTTTCAGGGGGATCCGATGCCCTCTCTGACCTCCGTGGGCATTATACAACATTGGTGCACTTATGTGCAAGCAATACACTCATGCACATAAAATAATATGATAAAATAAGTGACTTAAAAATGATAGCTCTAATCTTCGCATTTGAATAAATTATTTGTTAGTTGTTCCGACAGAGAAAATAGACAAGTATTAAGTATTGTATCCCAATTGGAAGGTATAAAGTTTTTTGGCTATTTGCTTTATTTTGTATAATGTGGAAACAGTGTTTGCCAGTAATGTCACCCTACAAAAAATATCTGCTTAAAGCAGTAAAGTCCAAAGAAACTAGTATTGATCAGAAATTTTTGAGAATTAGAACCATATTATTTGATTAGCCTTAGTGATTGGGTGATTCCTTGTCATTGAGTTTCAGAATTAAGTCTGGTTTTAAAAAATGTAACTGAGGGGCTGGAGAGATGACTCAGAGGTTAAGAACACTGATTATTCTTGCAGAAGACTGGGGTTCGAATCCCAGCACCCACATGGCAGCTAACAGCTGTCCGTAACTCCAGTTCCAGGGAATCCGACAGCCTCTTCTGTCCTCCGTGGGCATTGCATGACATGGGTGCACTTACCTACATGCAGACATAACACTCATACACATAAAATAAAAATAATAAATATTGGGAAAAAAAAAATTAAAAAAGGTAACTGAGAGCCAGGTGTGGTGGCACACACCTTTAATCCCAGCACTCAGGAGGCAGAGGCAGGCAGATTTCTGTAAGTTTGAGGCCAGCCTGGTCCACATAGTACCTTCCAGGCTAGTGGGGGCTACAGGGAGACCCTGTCTCAAAAAGACCAAAGAAAAAAAATGTGTAGAAGAGAGACACCCTGAGTCCCTGTTCAGCATGGAAGAAGCCAGAATGGTCTGTGTCCTGATTCCCTATCCACAAGTTGGGTAACCTCTTCAAAGAATGGTATGATAAGAACAGGAGGTAGGCCAGTTCCAGGGGAATCTGAAGCCCTCTTCTGACCTCCGTGGCATTGCACAACACAGTTGCCACTCAGGTACATGTAGGCAGTACACTCATACACATAAAAAATTAAAATTATAAATAATTTTTTTTAATGTAATTGAGGAACTAGAGAGATGACTCAGTGGTTAAGAGCACTGGTTGCTCTTACAGAGGACCCAGGTTTGGTTCCCAGCACCCACGAGGCAGTTAACAACCATCTTTAACTCCAGTTCCAGGGGATCCGACACCCTCTTCTGACCACTTTGGGTATGTGCATGACGGGTGCACTTACTACACTTACATACATGCAGGCAATACACTCATACAAAAATACATATAATAAATTTTTTTTAAAGGTCAAAATAAGGGGCTGGAGAGATGGCTCAGTGGTTAAAAGCACTAGCTACTCTTACAGAGGACCCAGGTTCAATTCTCAGCACCTACATGATAGCTAAAAAGTGTCTGTTACTCCACTTCCAGGGGAATCAGACTCTCTCTTCTGACCTCTTTGGGCATTGCAGGACATGGGTGCGCTAACACATATGCAGGCAATACACTCATACACATAAAATAAAAATAATATTTTTTAAAGGGGCAGAATAAAATAGATATGTAAGTTTAAAATACGCTAATAATAAATCATAAACTATAATTCTTTGGTGTGTATATAATTTTACTATTTATTAAAATGAAAGTAAATTTGCATACCAGTGAGATGATAAATATGCTTGTGTATTTTTACATATAAATTAAATCTTGACTGAATATTTGATCCTACAGTACATAGAACACCCTCAACATTTCCTATAGTTGATCCGTATCTTGCTTTTATGATTGTCAGTGCTGAGAATGCTCCTTCACATTGACATGTCATAGAAAAAAAGTATTGAAGTTATCAGAAATTGTAGGGAATTCGGTCTTAATCTCAAGCCAGAATTCTTTTTAACAGTTCTTTATGAAACTAAAAGCAACTCAAATAGCTATTTTAAAAAATCAAACATTCTAAGACGATACAGTCCAAAAATATATTAATAACTACGTGCTGAGGACTAATGGTAGAAAAACATTAAAAGCTTTTTCTGTAATTAAACCATTGTTGGAGCAAAGCTGAAAACTTCATGCAGAGTAAAGACCCTGGGGTCAGTAACATGTAGTAGTCTCAGACCTGAGCCAAGCTGCTTAGGCAGCCTTCGTTGGCATCATGTGGCATGACCATATGCACAGTGCAAAGTGTACATGTATGTTTAAAAGCAAGGCTGCAGTGAAATCATTCCACAGATTGCAGGCAAGCACTGCCGGAAACACCTCAGATTCCTAAGGCATTTGATTTTGGTTAGTTTTGAGGGTGTTGTACTTCAGAAACCTTTCACTGTTGGCCATATTTTTTGCCACTCCCATGTGCAGTTCTGTGACTCCACACGAGGTCACTCCTTACAGTTTAAGAAGCTGGCCTATAGAGCACTGACACTTGACCCTCTCAGTACTGGAAATACCAGTGCCATATGTTCAGACACCAGTACGTTTCAACCCTTGGCTATACCAATGACTGCACATGACCCTTCCTTAAGAAATTCTGATTTAGTAAAGTTAAGGGTGATCCTTCCCCATCCCACCCATTTCCTCTGATGCTAATACACAGCCAGAGTTGAAAACCTATGATTAAAAAGCACTGTTTTTAGGCCAGGCATGGTGGCACACTCCTTTAATCCCAGTACTTGGGAGGCAGGGGCAGGCAGATCTCTGAGTTCAAGGCCAGCCTGGTCTACATAGAGAGTTCCAGGCCACTTGGGGCTACAGGAAGACCCTGTCTTAAGAAGACCAAAAAAAAACCATTGGTTTCTGCATTTGAGGTTAATACTATACTATTAAGAGATTCTTTAAAAATTCATTTTTCTTGTATTTATTTATTTGTGTGTGTGTATATGAGTACCTGTGTGGAGGTCATAGGGCAACTTAAGAGTCAATTCTCTTCTTCAACCATACTGGGGGTTGGACTCAGGTTGTTAGTCTTGCCAGCAAACACCTTTACCTGCTGACCAACAGGACTTTTTTTAATCATCAAAAAGGTTTTATTCCCAGCACTTGGGAGGCAGAGGCAGGTGGATCTCTGTGAGTTCCAGGCCAGCTGGGGCTACAGGGAGACCCTGTCTCAAAAAGACCAAAAAAAAAAGAGTTTTTATTTGCCTCTGTTAAAGAAACAGGGCCCCTTCTTCCTTGACATTACATTTGAGTAGGTAAGCTCTACAGCCAGATACTTTGGGAGAGGAGACAAGTTAAAGCCGCACAGTGTCACACGCACATCTCACATGCCCTTTTTGTTTAAGTTAGGGTATATCTCTCCTGCTTTGAATTCTAGGCTAAGGCTCCAGAGTCACTGCAAGGCTGAGAGCAGAGAAGGGTCACACAAACCCTGAACTTCCCAAGGCCACTGCCTCTGTTTGGGTGCCTGTCTGGAGGGGCCAGGAACTGCCAGAGGCTGCAGCACCCCGGGGCTGTGTGAGGGAGGGGGTGCTGGGCAGAGACCCTAGATGATGGACTCTTCTGCCACCTGCAGGCCCACCTGGCGGTTTCCGGGCCCCAGTTCTTGCACCCTGACCTCATACCAGCCCTACCCCCACCCTGTACCTCCACATACATAGAAATCATATATATTGATTGAGGAAATGTGCATATATGGATTAGGAATGCATGTCTATGATTACAGAACAAGTAGGGAAGATTGCAAGTGTGCGTTCATAATGGTTACTTCTTCCTTTTCCCCCATGGTGGGTAAAGAGATACACAGTACTAATCTCCCAAAGGTTAGCACGTTGGTCAGTTTAGTCTAGATTAAAAGGTGCTGTTAATTAGGTTACAAGTTTTAAAAGAAAATTTTAGTGTCCTAAGAGTACTACTAGTTAAACATTTCACTCTTATCCTTACTATTAATTGAATTGAAGTTGAAAACCATTTCTTAAGTTTTTTTTTTTTTCAGTAAAAAGCGTGTCAACATAGTACAAAATCTTTCTATGCATGAAAGGAGAGTTGTTTGTGTTTTTATTTTGTTTTGTTTTGTTTTGTTTTGTTTTGTTTTGTTTTGAGACAGAGTCTCCCTCGTTGGGCTGTAACTCAATATGTGTAGACCAGGTTGGCCTTGAACTCAGAGATTCCCTTGCCTCTGCCTCTCAAGTGCTGGGATTAAAGGCATAAGCCACCATCCCTGGCAAGAGTTTATTTATCTGATTTCTGCTTCTGGACCAGTAGATAGTAGTAGAAATAAATTAACATTGCTTTTTACATGTTTTCACAGAAAAGACCCAAGTGCTTTCTTTTCATTTCCTGTGACTGATTTTATTGCTCCTGGCTACTCCATGATCATTAAACACCCAATGGATTTTAGTACCATGAAAGAAAAGATCAAGAATAATGACTACCAGTCTATAGAAGAACTTAAGGTAATTGTAATTAGTTGTTTTATTTTGTTTTGTGATAGGATCTCAAGGCTAGCTCAGGCTGGCCTTGAACTTCCTGCCTTCAATTTACCAAGTGCTGGAATTACCTGTGTATGCTGCTAGGCCCAGCTTATGAAGTTTTGACTAGAGAAGTAGACTATAATATACTTTAATTAAACTGAGAGTCAAACTGTTGGATCCTGTATACACAAAAATCTTGTTTAAAAAAATCTCCAAATCTGAGGCTTCCAGGTGGCTCAGGAGTTCAGAGCACTGGCTGCTTTTGCACAGGACCCAGGTTTGGTTCCCAGCACCCCCATGGCAGCTAACAACCATTTTAACTCCAGTTCCAGGGGATCAGTGCCCTCTTCTGATCTCTGTGGGCATTGCATGACTCGGGTGCATATGCATGCAGGCAGTAGTACACTCGGACACATAAAAATAAAAATAAATAAAAATATTTTTTTTTAAATCTCCAAATCTGGGGTTGGTGAGGTGACTTGGCAGGTACAGGCACTTGCTGCCAAGCCTGATAACCTGAGTTCAATCCCATATGGTAGGAGAACCAACTGTAGTTGTTTGACTTCCACACATGTGCCACAATTCCACAAATCTGGAATTCACAGTTTTTCTTTTTGACCTTTCATTTTTAAGAAATTTTATTCTAAATGTTCAAAGAATTTGTATTTTTCTGCTTTAGAAGACTTTTGGGCTGGCAAGATGGCTCAGTGGGTAATGGTTGCTGGCATGCAACATGACAACCGGAGTTTGATACCTAGACCCCACAAGGAGAGAACCAGCTCCCTAGAATAGGCATTGTGGCATGCATGCATACACGAAATAAAAATTAGCTTTAAAAAACTTCTATGAACCTGGCATAGTTGTGCATGCCTTTAATCCCATTACTCAGGAAGCAGAGGCAGGCAGATCTCCAAGATTGAGGCCAATCTGGTCTACATAGCAAGTTCAGGCCACCTGTGGCTACATAGAGAGACTTTGTCTCAAAAAAAAAAACTTTTATGAACTTGGTAATAGAAAACCAGATGCAATAAGTCTTCGAACTTTTGTTGTTTTCGTTTTTAGTGATTATTAGTGTTTGATATATATTCTATAACCCGTTTTCCCAACCCTTAAAATGAAAAGGTATTGTATTTTAAATTTGGAATCAATGAAGATAAAAGATTAATATTTTAATGTAAGTTGCTTCTAGACGTACAAGGTGTACAAATCTTCTAAAACGAGAAATACATTGGCCTCTTCAGAAATAATAAAGAATTTTATTTTTATTTTTTCTTTTTGAGACAGGGTCTCCCTGTTAGCCCAGCTGACCTGGAATTTGTTGTGGAGACCAGGCTGCCTCTGTCTCACAGAGATCTGCCTGCTTCAGCTTCCTGAATGCTGGGAATAAAGGCATGTGCCACCGCACCCAGCTACTAAAGAAATTTTTAATTACATTTCCTAGTTTGATGAAAGTTGGTTATTTCCTGAGTTCACTCTGGCTGTGTTTGTTTGAGCATGTTTTCTTCCCAACTTTTCAAAGAGAAGAGAACTAGGAGTGTGACTTAGTGGTAGAGGAGAGCTCTTGCCTTACGTACACAGTCCCTGGATTTGATCCCAAGTATGAGTGGCAAAGAAAGAACAAAGAATGATATATAAAGAATCTAGAGGACTTATGTGGATGGCTCAGTGGCTAAAATACGTGCTACACAAACATAAGGACTTTAATTCTAATCCCTAGCACCCACATAAAAGCCAGGCCTGACATCCGTGAGTTTGCTAGTCAGTTTATCTAGCTGAAACTATGAACTGTTCTATGGCTCATTGGTCAGTGCACTGGCTGCTCTTGCAGAAGACCCAGGTTCAAATCCTAGCACCTAGCTGGTGGCTAACAACCATCTGTAACTCCCAGTTCTAGAAGATCTGACACCCTCTTCTATCCTCTTCGGGTACTGTATGACATCGGTACACTTAACATGCAAGCATAACACTCGTACACATAAAATAAAAATAAACCAAAAAGTTTTTTTAAAGAACTAAGGTGAGAAAGTTAAGAAAAGACACTGGGGTGTGAAAGATGGCTCAGTGGTTAAGAGCACTGGCTGCTCTTAACAGAGGACTCAGGTTTGATCCCCAGCACCCACATTGCAGTTAACCATATATAACTCTAGTCCAGGGGTCCAATGCCCTCTTCTAACCTCTGTGGCATTCATGACACAAGTGCACTTACATACATGCAGGTAATACACTCATACACGTAAAATATAATAAAAATATATTTAAAAAAGACACCTCTGGCCTCCACACACACATGCACACATGCGTACACCAAACATACAAACAAATCTAGAAGCCACCAACATGGCATATATCCTTCCTGTATAGGTCACCTGACCTAAGAGCTGTACCCTAATTGGTTACAGAAGAAAACAGGATAGTAAACATCGCCTTTACTTGTTCTTTTCAAAAGTTTCCATGTTTATCAGCTGAAATTTAAGGAGCTATCAGCATCTAATTCTCTTGAGCGTGTAGGTAATCTACTTACTCTGGAAAATCCAAATGCCACTACCTTTTTTAAAGAACTTGAAATTCTTCCTGGATTTTCATCTATTGAAAATAGGCAGAAACTATTTTAGCATAGTTCAGACTTTTTGCTTAATAGGAAAGAATTTCGCAGTTTGTTTTTGTTTGGAATGTGTGTGTTTTCTGTTTATGAATAGTTTACCTCTGATCTTTCTCCTGTGGTCACAGAAGTTAGAAGTCCCCTTGAGTATGTTTAAGCAGGTGAAGGCTTTTTAGTACTTGAAATTAGGTTATTTTAACTCTCTGTAGAGTTTTCCACATGAAGCAAAGTGTACAGAAAGAATTGGCTTTTTTAACCAGGTTCCATTACACAAAATACAATAAAACTGTCTTAGCACTTGACAGGCAAGATTTAAGGAATCTGAAAGTCACCTTGGGCTGGGTCCTGGGTTGGATCCCTAGCCTGCCGTATCCCTTAGAAATGTGCTAGATTCTCTCTCTCTCTCTCTCTCTCTCTCTCTCTCTCTCTCTCTCTCGATCCCTAGCCCCCCACACATACACACGAACACAAAAGTTGCCTTAACAGACAAGACTTAGAATCCTTAGAGTGGTCATCGCCAGATACAACTGAGTGATCATTTACTGAGTCTGCTTAGTCATCTACTATCTTACTCACTTGCCTTCTAGAGCTAAGCAAATCCTTGGCCAGAACTGAGTAGTCACATATTCTGCTTTAAACTTAGTGGCTAATTTATTGTGGCTCTTAAACCTATCTGCTCATAAATTTTTAAAAGAACTCAGTCTATCTACTATTTTCATTCCATTTAACTGTTCTAAGTTGTCATCACTACTAAACAGTGGAATTTTGAGTGTTGTTTAGGATTTGGAGAAGTTTTGGAGGCATTTCTTCCTAGTTGGTTTCTTAGGATTTTAACTAAGTAAGGCATGATCTCACATAGATGTAAAAGTATCATATCCAGGAAAAAATAACAGGGCTTAAGTGTGTCAGCTCATACGTATGCTTTGAAATCTAAGCCAAAAATGTAGTTCTGATAAATTTGGCTACTCCAGTTACATGTTGTGACACCTCGAGGTTGTATGCTTTATTTCACTTTGATATGATTTTGTAATATCTGCAAATTATGTTTACTTTATGGTGGTGTCTAAGTTCTTTAAAAATTTGTAAATGTTTTGACATTTTTACCTAGGGTATTTAGATTTGGCAGGAAAAATTGTGAAAATATAACACTACCCAGTTTTTAGTTAAAATTTGAAATAAAACTTAATTTATAAATGGAGACTTAAAATATTTGTTTTTAAAATTGAGGATAATATATGTAATTATATGAACTACCCAGCTTAGATTATTAAATATGAGATAGAAATCTTTTTTCTGACTTCTTTTTGTGTAACTATAACTGTTCTGAAAAAAGCTTTTCAGTTTACATCCTGAATCAAAAATTAATACATAGATACCGAAATGCTTAAGAATTTAAAAACAAATTTTGAAGTATTTATTTTGTTGATCTTAACACAATAATTGCTATGGGTGTCGTGTAGTAAATAAGTAGTGATAGAAAAAGATGTTGTCATTGTTTTTAAATTTTTAGAGGGCCTGCATGATTCCAGACTAGGATAGTTTTGTTCTAATGCATTTTCCTTCTTAATATTCTCTTTATAGGATAACTTCAAGCTCATGTGTACTAATGCTATGATTTACAACAAGCCAGAGACTATTTATTATAAAGCTGCAAAGAAGCTGTTGCACTCAGGGATGAAAATACTCAGCCAGGTAAAGAAAATCTGTCACAAAGAGTAATTACTATGAAACTCTATGTTTGCCATTGTGATACAAATCCTCTACAGTGTTGACTTTATCTCATTGGCAAATCATATTAAAGTAGTGAAAAATTGCTATCAAAAAAAGGCTGTAAGATTCTCATTTGTCTCTTTTGTGTATGATGCATGTGTGCACCACTGCTCTTGTAAGGGTCAGGACACATCTTACGGGAGAATGTTCTCTCCATGTAGAGTAATCCTGACGATTACTCAGATTGACAGACTTGGAGGCAAGTGCCATCTCACCAGTGAGTTTCATGTAGCCAAGGCTAGCCTTGAACACACCATGTATCTGAGGATGACCTTATAATCCTGACCCTCCTGTCTGAGAATACTGAGAATGTAGGCATATGCTGTCACTCTCAGCTACTTGTGATGCTGGAGTACAAACCCAGACCTTCCATGCATGCGTAGGCAAGCACTCTACCAGCTGAGCTCCATCCCCAACCCCTGCTTATAATTATTTCTCTAGAGGCTCTGGAATTATACTGACCAGACAAATTTATTTTGCTGTAAGGAGCATAATTTGCCATGGGAGAAACAACAGCCTGAATTTCAGTATAGAATTGAAGTCCGAAGCCTTTTTGGAGAAAATCTGTGTTTTCTTAGTAATATAGTCTAATGGTCTGGTCAGCCTTGCATCTGATGAAGCACAGAACTCTTAGTGGTAAGAAACAAAATACACAAATGAGAAATAATTTGGAACTTCTCAAAACCACCTGTCCATAAGAGCAAGTCCTTCCTTGAAGAATAAGCTTTAGTGCAAACTAGGGTATATGAACCATCATCAAGTTACATGAGAAAGCTTAAGCATGCTGCATGTAAATAGTGGCAGAAAAGTGTGTGTCGTCCAGCCACAGCTGGTGATGATCTTACTCATAAAGAAGAGGGACTTAATCTGTGAGCTCCAAAATCACTTCTAGCTGAATTTTCCAATTCTAGATAAGAACTAGAATAGGAAAAAGACTGGAAAGAATAGCCAGGTAGGGAGGGGTTGTGAAAGAAATATGAGCTGGAAATAACAGAGTCAGAGTGAAGAACTTAAGCTCAGTAGTTAAAAGATGGAAAAAATTAGTCATATATATTTATGTGTGTGTTCTGAATTGTCCAGTGATCATATATATTACAGTTCTGCATTTAAAGAAAAGTGCTAGTGTGCAGATGTCTGGGTGTCTTTATGCTTAGCTCTGAGAAATTAATGAATCAGCTTTACTAGGAAAAGGAAAACATTTGAATTGATGATTATTCTTACACTACTAATTTTTTTTTATAAAACTTTTAAATTTTATTTATTTTTTATTTTACACGTATGCATGTATTGCCTGCATGTGTACAACCCGTGTCATGCAATGCCTGCAGAGGTCAGAATAGGCTGTCGGATCCCCTGGGACTGGAGTTATGGACAGTTGTTAGCTGCCATGTGGGTGCTGGGATTCAAACCTGGGTCTTCTGCAAGAACAACCAGTGTTCTTAACTGCTGAGCCATCTCTCCAGCCCCTGTACTACTAATTTTTTTAAATATTTTTATTATTTTTATCTTATATGTATAAGTACCATTACCTGCATGTATGTAAGTGCATGTGTGTCATGCAGTGCCCTTGGAGGTCAGAAGAGGGCATCAGATTCCCTGGAACTGGAGTTATGGACTGTTGTTAGCTACCATGTGGATGCTAGAAATTGAACCTGGGTCCTCTGCATGAGCAGCCAGTGTTCCTAACCCACTGAATCATCTCTCCAGCCCTACTACTAATATTTAGACAGTATCAGTTGCCTTTTTTCCCAAAGACTTGAGAAGCTGTAGTTTAAACCCATCATGTTTAGCAAAATTTGCCAAAGGAAATATAAAATGTTTGTTTCACTTTTTTCTGGGAGACTCTCAGAATCTAAAACCAAGTCATATTCAATTCAAAGTTTAAAAGCCCAGATATTTGAAGTAAAACTGTATTGAACAAATGTAGTCTTCATTTACTTCAGGGTGCGTATAATGGACTTTTTAGGAAAAAATCTGGTTTCTTTGTTTAATCAATTCTGATTATGCTACTTTCTCTTTAAATAATATAATTGGTGTAACTATAAGCAAAAGATTCCAGTGTTGGCCAGGCGTGGTAGCACACGCCTGTAGTCCCAGCATTTGGGAGGCAGAGGCAGGTGGATCTCTGAGTTCAAGGCCAGCCTGGTCTACATAGTTCCCTGTAGCTGGAGCTACAGGGAGACCCTGCTTCAAAAAGACAAAAAAAAGAGAGATTCCAGTGTCCTCTAAAGTGTACTGAGACTGGGAAGATTAGAAGTAAGCTTGCCTACTTTCCCTTCTCTCTGTGTCTTCCTTTTGTCAGATCTCTTTCTGTTGAGCAATACCCTCCTGTGTTACAGCTTCATTTTGACGTTCAGTCCACTCTAGATGGGAGGGATGCACTCAGCAGCAATTTTTAAATGTTTAAATTTAGACTTTCTGAGTTAATATTACAAACTCCAGCTCCCAAGAGAGTCTACATGCCCTTCCATGAATGCTGTCTTCAGCAACACATGTTCTGAGTATTCATTGGAAGAATGCTAGCAGTCATCATTTTTTTCCATTCCACCCAAATATTAGCAATTAATAGTTGTGCTATTTTTATGAAGAAAGAGCTGGTGGCCAGGCATGAGGGCATACTCCTATGATCCCATCACTTGGGAGATTAAAAGTAGAAGGATTAAGAGCTTGAGGCCGATGTGGGCTACATAGAGAAGCCATTGTCTCATAAAACAAAATAGCAGTAAAAAAGAATCAACCGTAAATAGGTGCTTGAGTAGAATGCTGCATCATAAAACAAACAGTAGTATTTGTAGTACAGTGGCTTTGGAATGAGACCAGTCAAGGTTCAAGTCCTAGTCCTGCTGCTGTTCATCTGAGTTGCCTTAGACTGTGCAGTCTTCCTCAGCATTTCTCCTGTAGGATTGGGTTAATAATGATTCTTAACATGCAAGAGCTGTCTGCTACAAGAAGCACTCTATCAAATGTCAGCAGCCTAAGGCAGAAAGTGGCTTGAGCCCAGAATTTCAAAGCTAGCCAAAGCAGCACAGTGAGACCATCTTGGAAGGAAGGGAGGCTATATTAAATAAACAACATGCTTATGGAGACATTTGAATTGTGAAAAAAGGAAACAGCATTGTTTTCAAAGTAAGAAACTTTTTCCTATGACTTATTTCTAAATTTAGAAAAATTTACAGAATTATTTTTAGTATTATGCACATAATATTTTTTTAATCCCTAAATGTTCTTATTTCATTTTGTACTCTACAAAATTATAAAATGAAAATTAAAAACATTACTGAGAATGTTGTTACTTAAAGCCAGTTTGTTTAACCATTTACTAAGTAGCTACTATGTCAACCTGTTTCAGCCACTAGAGACCTGCAGATCATGATGTAAATGACATGTACATAAGTGATCAAATCACCACTGTTCAGAAGTGTGCTGTAAAATAACACAGTTTTTTAAATCACAGAGGATGTGTTTTTGTGTGTGTGTGATACTGTTCAGTTGGCAGGGATTCAGAGAAACTTTGAAATACTAGTTCTGATTGATAAAGCCTCTTGAAGACAGTTTGGCAGGGAGTTATCAAAGCCTTGATGTTTATTTCTTTGCCTTCCACTGTAGGAACTTGCCCTAAAGATATAAATGGAAGGTTCTTAGAGTGAGTGTTTGACATTATTTAATGGAAATTTGAAAGCCTAAAGGTCTAGTCATATGGTTTTAATTAACTATTTATTATACATTGAGTTACTTAAAACAGTCTAAAGGATATGTAATGATAGGGAGAACAAATGCTTATAATTAACAAAAAAATGCTTTTGCCAAATAGTCATTATGCTGTCAGTTTGCTAAAAATATATCATGCTTAAAAGAAATAGTTGAAATGACAACCTGTTAACACTGTTGCTCTCTGGAAGATAAAGGAATAAATTTGTACTTTCTCCTCTCTTTGTAGTCAGATGCATCACATTCATAGTTTTAAAATTACTTTAAAATAAAAGCTGAATAAAGGGGCTGGGGATGTAGCTTAGTTGGCTAAGTACTTTCCAAAACATGCATGAAACCAAGTTCACTCCTTAGCACCTCATAAAACAGGTGTGATGGTGCATACCTCACAAAGTAAAGGCAGGAGGATCGGGAGTTCAACGTTATCCCCAAGCCAGATGTGGTGGCATGTACATTTAATCCCAACATTTGGGAGGCAGAGACAGGCAGATCTCAGTGAGATTGAGACCAGCCTGGTCTCTGTGGTAAGTTCCAAGCCAGCTGGAACTATAGGGAGACTGCCTCAAAAAACAAACAAATTCCTAAGCGATGAGTTTAAGAGCATTGGCTGCTCTTCCAGAGGATCCAACACCCTCTGCTGAACTCCCACTTTGGGTCTCATGGGCATTGCATGCACGTGGTACACCTAGATACATGCAGACAAAGCATTCATACACATAAAATAGATAAAGGAAAGGAAAAGGAAAAAGTCCAGTAAAAATAGCAGGTCATCCCTCACTGTGTCATCCCTCAGATAAAGCTGTGCTGGCTTTATCTAGTGGAAATAGTTAAAAGGCAGAGTAGGGCCGGGCGTGGTAGCACACGCCTTTAGTCCCAGTGCTCGGGATACAGAGGCAGGCGGATCTCTTTGAGGAGGCCAGCCTGGTCTCCATAGCGAATCCAGGCCAGGTGGGGTTACAGGGAGACCCTGTCTCAAAAAAGACCAAAAAGAAAAAAAAAAGGCAAAGTACTCTGTAGGAACAAATTTTCCTTCTTTAAAATTTACCCAGAATTGGGGCACTGGAGAGATGGCTCAGCAGTTACAAGCACTGACTGTTCTTGCAGAAGACCTGGGTTCAAATCCCAACACCCACATGGCAGCCAACAACTGTCCGTAACCCCAGTTCCAGGGGATCTGACAGCCTCTTTCGTCCTCTGTCCTCTGTGGGCATTGCCTGACACAGGTATACTTATCTACATGCAGGAGATACACACATACACATAAAAATAATAAATAAAAAAATTTTTTTTAAATAAATTTACCCAGAATGGGGCTGGAGAGTTGGCTCATCAGTTAAGAGCACTGACTGCTCTTCCAGAGGACCGAGGTTCAATTCCCAGCACCCACATCGCAGCTAACAGCCATCCAAAACTCCACTTCCAGGGGATCTAGTGCCTTCTGACCTCCGAGGGCATTGTTCAACCTGGGTGCACTTACATACATGCAGGCCATACACTCATAAAATAAAAATACTAAATTTAAAAGGTTTTTGTTAAGTAAATTTTACCCAGAAACCTTAAGCTCTTAACCACAAATGACAAATTCACAGCCCATCATTACAGTGGAAAGTTAAGCACGTGCTTCATGAAATAGAAGCAAAAATTCTTTGGTTAGTAAGAACATTATGCACTCTGAGAAAGTATGCTAGCAACCATTTATTTTCCCCCAAAGCATGTTGCTTTCACCCAGAGCAGAATGCCAGTCATTGGTGTTCACCATAGGACACAAGAATAGAAAGGTCTTCACATGCCCCAGGTTTTAAATCCTTAATCATCCTTAACTTTCGAAAGATAAGCAAGTCTAAACTTTCAGTCCCAGTTCAGACTTTGTATTCTGTTAATTCTTAACATTGAAAATTAAATGATTTGAATTAAATGACTGTTGTCCTGGTTCCTGTGGTATAATTACACTTGTTTCTCTCCCCTACTTATAATGATAAGTGCAAACTCATGAGAGAAAAATGCATTACTTTAAAACGAAGTGACAGTCACACAGTATTTTTGAATATTTTTAGGAAAGAATTCAGAGCCTGAAGCAGAGCATAGACTTCATGGCAGACTTGCAGAAAACTCGAAAGCAGAAAGATAGAACAGACGCCTCTCAAAGTGGGGAGGACAGCAGCTGCTGGCAGCAAGAGAAGGAAGCCTCTGGAGATGCTGAAACACAAGCCTTCAAAAGTCCCTCTAAGGACAATAAAAGGTAAAGGATTTTGGAATATAAAGTTATGTTAATTTTTTTCAGTAAGCGAGGGGAATACTAACTCAGAGTTGACTTGGGAAGACCAAGTCCCAGCATATCAGTAGTATTTCTTGGCATAAAAGTCCATTTTGACTTGGGAGCCAGAGGCAGGCGGATCTTTGTGAGTTCGAGGCCAGCCTGGTCTACATGGTGAGTTCCAGGACAGCTGGGGCTACAAGGAGACCCTGTCTCAAAAAGAAAAAGGGAAAAAAAAAGTCCATTTTGGGGGCTGGAGAGATGGCTTGGCAGTTAAGAACACTGGTTGTTCTTGCAGAAGACCTGGGTTCGAATCCCAGCAGCCACATGGCAGCTAACAACTGTCTATAACTCCAGTTGCAGGGGATCTGATGGCCTCTGTCCTCCTTGGGCATTGCACGGCATGGGTGCACTTACCTACATGCAGGCAATGTACTCATACACATAAAATAAAAATAATAAATATTTTTTTAAAAAGTCCATTTTGGTGATCTGATAGCCCTCTTGTCATACTGTGTGGAATTGACCAATCAGTTCCAAATATAGATTCTTACTAGTTTAAGCCAGCAAATTATGTTTAGAGTCATATTGTTAAGGACTTTGTTTAAATAGAATTATTTTATATTTTTTTATATTTTACACATTTTATTTTTCATAAAGAGGTGTTGGAAAGCTCTTCTAAGTAGATAGGCTGGCACTGAGGTGCATGTGCTTTTTTGTTTGCTGCCAACTAATATGAACAGTGAAGAGGCACTGGTTCTCCTGGCGTCTGGCATGCCACTGACATGGCTAGATAATAGGCTCTACCACCCACTTGTGCCACTAGCCACTCAGCACCTCACTGCCACTCATAGGGAAGGTTATAAATACCAGTTGGAATTTCTTCTCTCATAGTGCAAAGAAAGTAAACTCTTAACAATCTTCATTGGTATGCTTTAAGACAGATACTTTTTTGTGTGTGTGAGTGAATTGCCTGCATATATGTAAGTGCACCCATGTCGTGCAGTTCCCACCGAGGTCAGAAGAGGGCATCAGATCCCTTGGAACTGGGGTTACAGACAGTTATTAGCTACTGTGTGAGTGCTAGAAGTCGAACCCAGGTCTTCTGCAAAAGCAGTCAGTGCTCTTAACTGCTGAGTCATCTCTCCAGCCCCAAGATGGTTACATTTTAAAGATCTGTTTTAGATTTTTTTTTTTTTTTTTTTTTTTTTTTTGGTCTTTTTGAGACAGGGTCTCCCTGTAGTCCCAACTGTCCTGGAACTCACTATGTAGACCAGGCTGGCCTTGAACTCCACAGAGATCCGTCTGCCTCTGCCTCCTGAGTGCTGGGATTAAAGGCGTGCGCCAACACACCCAGCAGATTTAATTTTTTAAATTAAACTTAAATTATGTACTTATTCCTTTTCAAAATAATGTCTAAATTAAAATTCATTTTTGTGACTATACTCAAAAGGTAAGAAAAGTGACTAGACCATAACCACCATATTAGGTTTGCTTTCATGTCTGTGTCATTAGGGCCCTTCCCAGGTCATTAAGGAGCAGTTTTAATTGGTAACTGTAGTACAAATATCTCTACTTACTGTATTCCTCTTTGGAATTCCTTTTCATATGTTCATCTTACTCATTTAGTTTTTATTACTTTGTATTAATATATTTTAGAAAAGACAGAGATGTCCTTGAAGATAAATGGAGAAACAGCAACACAGAAAGGGAGCATGAGCAGATTGAGCGTGTTGTCCAGGAGTCAGGGGGCAAGCTGACACGGCGGCCAGCAAATAGTCAGGTGAGAGACTGCCTTTCCCTCTCCACCCACTGGCTTGAGTCTCAAACCAATAGCTTTTCAATTTCCCCTGTACTTTTACTCATATTTGCCATAGAACTCTTTATCATTACAGTGCTCAAAGAAGAAAAATGATATATTTGTCTGTAAAGTATATGATTATTATATCCACTGCTACTGGGTGCTTTTCTTTTGAATGAAGTTAATGTTTTCTAAAAATAGAAAATAGACCAGGTGTGGTAGCACACACCTTTAATCCCAGTGCTCAGGGGGCAGAGGCAGATGGATCTCTGTGAGTTCCAGACTAGGTGGGCCTACAGGGAGACCCTATTCTTAAAAAAAAAAAATCCAAGCCAGGCATGGTGGCATGCACTTTTAATCCCAGCACTCAGGAGGCAGAGACAGGTGGATCTCTGTGAGTTCAAGTCCAGCTTGGTCTACATAGCTAGTTCCAGGCCATCCTGCACTATAGGGAGACCCTGTCTCAAAAAGACAAAAAAATCCATATCCGACTTCTGCCACCCAGGGCTTAGGGACTATTGCAGAAGAGGGGACAGAAAGACTAAGAGCCAAGGGTTGTGGATGACCATAAGGAAACAGTTTTCCAGGTGACTAAGAAGTTGCTCATGTGACCTTACAGCAATGGTGACAGCATGCATAAGACCCATGTAAGCTCAAATCAGACAGAAAACCAGCATAGAAGGAGGAAATACATAAGAAGCCCCAACCTTAGCTGCAAAACTATTGGCAACTGATGACTACTTGGGGAGAGCAAGTTAGTTTTTGAGGGAATAACACTAGATAGGCTGACCGGGGTCCAGTGGATGGCCTCATACCGACGGACATTTGGGGACACAAACTTGGCTTGATAGGCCTTAACATACATGACATAATACATGTAAACTAATGGGGGAGCTGTGGGCAAGGTAGCAGATAGGGGAGGGGTCTAAATATGATCACAATGTATTGTATGAAATTTGCAAGGAAAAAAAAATTTTTTTTAACTAGAGAATAAACAACATACTACCTTTTGTTTTTTCAGATGGGATCTCATCAGGTAGCCAGACTGGCCTTGGATTCAAATTGCCTCAGCCTCATAAAGTGCTGGGATTGCAGGTGTTCACTACCATGCCTGGCAACAGACTTAATTTGAAGTGATAAAAAAACAATAGGCACAGGTCTTTAATACCAGCCCTTCAGAGACAGGGAGGAAGATAGATCTCTGTGAGTTCGAGGCCAGCCTGGTCTATGGTCTACATAGCAAGTTCCAAGCTAGCTGGAGCTACAGAGAGTGATTTCTTTTGAAATCATATTCTTGAACACTTGGTTTTAAAACCAAGTGGATTCATACATGGCTTTGGGTAAGTCATCCCTTCCCCCAATCTAGGGTCATGTGTTTTGGTACTTTGGGAGAAATAAATGGTCCACACAGCTTTTCAAAATTAGATTTTTTTATCTTCCATTTCTCTAACCCTTTGGCACCCATAGACACAGAAGTGGCTTTGAAAGTTGGTGCTTTGAGCTTAATGATAACCTACTATTTAAGTTTGATTTCTAGTTTGTTACCTCTGTATTTAGAGTATATAAAACTTCATTCTACCTGAATACTTGGGTCATTTCAGTGTGAATTTGAAAGAAGAAAACCAGATGGAACAACAACACTGGGACTTCTCCACCCTGTGGACCCCATTGTGGGAGGTAGGATCACAGTTTAAGACCCTTTGTGAGCATGATGCTATTTGTAGAAGACAAGAAACTGACATGTTAGTCAAGACTTTTCATTGCTATGACAGAATACCTGACAAGCAGCTTAGAGGAAACAGGACTTTTTATTATTTGGGCTCATAGTTTCAGAGGATTCTGTCCACAGCCCTTGACGCTGTTGATTCTGAGCTCCTGGTGAGACAGAACAGGTTGGGGCAGCATATGACTGAGGCTGCTCACTTTTGGGGGGACAGGAAACAGAGAGAGACAGGGACCAGGGATAAAGGAACCAAGGACTTCACCTCCAGTGACCTACTTCCTCCAGCTAGTTCCACCCCCTAAAGGTTCCAGAACTTTCCAAGATAGTGCCACCAGCTGTGGACCAAGGTTTCAGGTGCAGCCCTTTTGAAGGACACGTCATATCCAAACCCTTAACACCTTGTTTAACATTTTAAAGCAGCAGGCCTAAATACTGATAAATCCAACGTGTCAGCAACATACAAAGAATTTGGCTAGGTACTTTGTGTTCATGGTAACAGTTAGCCTCACTTAACTCATGTTAGTTTGTTTAATACATAACCATTTTCATACTGTCATGGGAAAAACACTGGGAAAATAGAAATGAGTGATAGAATTCCTGCAGCTCAGAAAGTAGTAACATCCAATATTCGTTGTTGCTGTGGTCAAGTCAGCCTTTGGAGCCCTGGGTAAGTTAAATGAGGAGTATGACAGGGAGCAGAAGCCAGTCAAGTCCCTTCCTCTAACACTGCTGGGGTACATGCAGAAATCAAAGAAGGGTGTGCCTATCATGAACTGAGTGCTCTGTAAATAATCTATAATTAGTAAGTACCCCAGAGGAGTAAATCAGTCATGATTATGTGCAGGAGAAGGTGTGTCTGCCTAGTATTAATGGTAAGAGAGGGCTTCTTCAAGGAGATAGGTTTAGGTTGATCTCACAAGTGAGCTAAGGGCTGAGGAACAGCAGTGAAACCCAAGGGTAAAAAACCTAGAAGCAAACCAGGCATGGTGGCACACACCTTTAATCCCAGCACACAGGAGGCAGAGGCAGGCAGATCTTTGTGAGTTCAAGGCCAGCCTGGTCTACATAGTGAGTTCCAGGACAACTGGGACTACAGGGAGACCCTGTCTCAAAAAAAAAAAAAAAAAAAAAAAAAACTAGGAGCAAAAGAAGAACTTGATCCATCTGGAAACTGAAAGGGCAAGCTTGTTAGTATTCAGTAACCAGTAATAGGGCTAGCTCAGTTGGTAGAGTGTTTGCCTAGCAGGCACACAGCCCTGAGTTCCAACCCCAGCACCACATAACCAGTTGTGTTGGTGAACACTTGTAATCCCAACACTTGGAATATGGAGGCAGCAGAATCAAGAATTCAAGGTCATCCTTGGCTACATAGCAAGTATGAGGCCAGCCCAGGATACAGGAGACCCGCTCTCAAAGTATAAAATAAAAACAGAGGCCATTAATAAAAGAAAAGGAATTAGTGACGTGCCACATTTTCAAAACAAAATTCATTTTTTTATCTACAGGTGTGTTTTTCACAGAATTTTATGTGGCCTTTAGTAAAGATAACTTAAAGGCTGGGGCTATATAGTTCAGTGGTAGAGCCCTTGCCTAGCATGCAGGAGGAGATCCTGGGTTCAGTCCCCAGTGCTACAGGGGGAAGGGAGATAGATAGCTCTTTTAGGCTGCATGTGGTGGCACACACTTTTAACCTTAAATCCAGCATTCAGGAGGCAGAGGCAGGTGGATTGCTTGAGTTTGAGGCTAGCCTGGTCTACATAGCACGTTCCAGGCTAGCCAGGGCTATGTAGTAAGACCTTGTCTTTTTTTAAAAAAAAGAAAAAAGAAAAAACATACATTGAGTACTATGTAGTAAGACAAGTATAAGATCACACTTTGAAAATTCTGAAAAAATGATAATACCACAGGATTGGGAGCATGGATTTTTCTAGTTAGCTGTGGTAGAAAATGTGATGGGAAATGGAACCAATGACTTGGGCCTTGAGGTGTACCCATTCCGTTGAAGCCAGTGTCCACTGAGGCCTGGTTCCCTGTGTTTCCAGCTCCTTTGAGCATGATCAGATGTGGCCACAGCAAATTTGACTTTACTAGTCTAAGGTGGAAAATGCCCTGCTCAGCTTCTCGGCTTTATACGCCTAGTAGAAATAACAGTAACAATACAAACTAGGAAACCAGACTATAGATGGTTCACCAAGGAGGAAAGTTCCACTCTAGGTGTTTGAAGTTTCTTATACATGCTTTCTTGAAACTCATCACCTATAGTATTAGACTCAGTTGCATGGATGGTGCTACTAAGACCAAGGTTTCTTCAGGATAGAAAACATCCTCTGTTGAATACTGGTGGAGACCTCATTTCTCCTGATAACCATCGTTTTCAAAACCTCTTGAGTACTGGCCGCATGGTTTCTACTTATGTAATATTTTGAGCTTCAGCACTTGGATTCATTCCTGATTTACCCAAGTTTTCTTTCTTTTTTCAGTACTGAAATTTGAACCTAGGGTCTTGATCATGCTAGGCAAGCATTCTACCCCTGAGCTATGTACCTAGCTTCTCTTTTACTTTTTTTTTTATTTTGAGATAGTTGCCTGGGCAGGCCTTAAACTTGAGCTTCTTCCTCAGCATCCCAAGTAATTGGAGAAAGTCATTTTTTGCTTTTATTTTGTTTTGTTTTGTTTTGAGACAGGGTCTCAAGCCTTAACTGGCCTAGAACTTCCTATGTAGATTAGGCTGGCTTTAACTCACAGAGCTCTGTCTGCCTCTGCCTCCTGAGTGCTAGGATGACAAGGCATGAGCCACCACATACAACCCCAGGTCACATTTTTAAATTTTCTTTATTGTATGTGTATGTGTGTTTTGCTTGCATGTATGTGCTCCATGTACGTGCAGTTCCTGCAGAGGCCATAAGAAGGCACCGAATCCCCTGGAACTGGAATTATGGGTGGTTGTTAGCCACCATATAAGTGCTGGGGATCGAACCTGGGTCCTCTGCAAGAGCAGCCAGTGCTCTTAACCACTGAGCCATCTCTCCAGCCCCGGAACCAAACTCTTGTCTTTTTTTGGTTGTGAGCCTGAATGCTTAGTCTTCATTACAATAAACATATACCTGTTGTTGTAGACATTATTTTGTCCTTGGATCATTATGAGTTCTTACTATCCAGGTGTTTTTCCTGTATTTAATCTTTTATAAGCCTTTGAAATGATTTATATCCATCATCTTAATAGTAAAAGGCCCAGCATTTTTTGAGACAAGATCTTGCTTTATGGCCCAGAGTTGCCTGGCACTCACTATGCATCCTAGGCTGGCTTCAATCTCATGATTTTCCTGCCTTAGTTTCTCAAGTGCTGGACTTATAGTGTGTGCCAATCTGTTTGGAGGCAGCTATTTTTAATAAAAATCTTGATAGTGTGGTGATACATACCTTTAACCCCAATACTGGAGAGGCAGAGACAAGCGGATCTCTATGAGTTCAAGGCCACCCTGGTCTATGTAGTGAGATCTAGGCTAGCCAGGGTTACCCAGCGAGACCTTGTCTCAAAAAAAAAATAAAACTTTTAAGTCAAGTGTAATGTGTTAAAAAATTCTGCAAGTCAGCGAATGAGTGTTTGGGGCCTGGCTACACTTCTTTCTAAGCTCAGATTTTCTTGTCTTAGAAATGGATAGAGTAGAGGCTACCCAACCTCCTTCACATCATGTAGATAACGGGAAGTCATGCACATGAAAGCACTGCACAGTGCTCTGTGGATCATTTCCATGTGTGCCTCCTTCATTGGACTCAGTTTTATGTCTTAGAACCAGGCTACTGCCCTGTGAGACTGGGAATGACGACTGGAAGACTTCAGTCTGGAGTGAATACCTTGCAGGGTTTCAAAGAAGATAAAAGGAACAAAGTAACCCCAGGTGAGGCTCCTGCATAGTCCTCTTATTTTTTTCTTCTTTGGGGAGTTGGGAAATGGAGTCCTTTACCGTTCATTGCTTTCTTCACTGGCTTTGTTGGTAGTATTTTTGCCATAGCAATTATTTTATCAACTTGATAAGAAACTGAAAAGTTGGATATTACTATATACAGTAAGTTTTTCTTCCCTCCTTTGTGGGAATAATTCAGTCGAATTGCAGCTTCACAGGTACAGCCAGCCTTCTGTCTGAGCGCCTCATCTGCATACTCAACCAAGTACAAATCAGACATGGCATAGACTTTTTTCTTATTTCCTAAAAATTACAAGATAACATTTATGTCACATTGATATTATAAGTTACCTAAATGTAATTTAAAGTATGCTGTAGGATATATAGGTTCTACCCAAATATTATGCCATTTTAGGTAAGTAACTCCAGTGTCCTAGGATTATTGGGTGCGGGGGCTGGTTCAGGAGATTGGAATCAGTCCCCCAAATATGCTGAGGAATGACTAGACCTGTTTGGGAGTATAGTATGTCTTAGATTTATCTAGTTAGTGAAGTAATAAAGTTGGAAGGGAATATATTTTAGTACAGCCAGAATGTAGATTGACATGAAATTTCAAGTGATACTATAGTGTTAAATTTTTCAACAGTGTTATACTTGAATTATGGACCCTACAGTTCTTATGCCCCACATTATGACTCTACATTTGCTAATATTAGCAAGGATGATTCTGATTTAATCTATTCGACCTATGGGGAAGACTCTGATCCTCCAAGCAGTTTCAGGTAAGTCAACAATTAATATTCTAAAGCACATATTTTCCTAAAATATTAATGTGTAACGTGATTGTAGGTAGATTTACACAATTATCCAAATAGTAATAAATGTGTTTGGTAGTTATTTTATGTGTATGAGTATTGCTTGCATACATGTGAGTGCACCTGTGTTGTGCATGGAGATACCCACGGAGATCAGAAGAGAGGGTCCTCTGCAAGAGCAGCCAGTGCTCTTATCTGCTGGGCCATCTCTCCAGCCCCCCAGAAATATCTTTTTCAAGCTGCTCCTGATAATGAACTTCCAATCCTGCCGTGCTATAAAATTTTATGAGTCAGTTATGTTTCAAACTTGATCGTTTTGGGAACCCACAGAATAGTTTCCCTAAGCCATGAAGTTTAGGACATGATGGTTTAATTTCTAAAACAACCCACATACAGGACTGTTTGACCTTCGTTTATCAACCAGGCCAGTTACATGTGTCAGTGGGTTAGTAATTTCTGTGTTCCTCTTTAGGGTGCTGAGCATTTTGTATGCCATCAACACAGTGAGATACTGTCCCAATTTAGCAGGACTGTGGCTCACCTTGGGACAATGAACCTGGATTTTTCCTTCTTGGCACTGGTACCTTATTAACTTTTGTCATGTTCAGGATTAACCCAATAGAATAACCAGTACCCTGTGTTTATTTACAAAGAGGACTTTGATCACTTATGTGTTCATGTATGCAATTATGTTGTGGTTTACAAACAGGGCCTCTAAGTTAGAGATTAGCTGTAGTTTAAAATCAAGCCATTTATATTCTTAGACTGCACAAGCTTACACACATTCTTTCTAGATTATTCATTGAAGCAGTCCACAAATAAGCAACGTGTGCCTACTATGTGCCAAGTATTCTTATAGACACTGAAGATTCCAGATAGAAACCTTGTGCTCTTGTCAGATGACGACTGTGCTTTGGAGCTTTTGGAGCAAGGTAAATTAGCAAAGGAAGAGAGATAGGTCATGCTAAGCTTAGGAGAGTCTGCTCAAAAGGGAAAACTGAGGGACTAGAGAGCTGGCTCAGCAGTTAAGAGCACTGGCTACCCTTGCAGAGGACCTGTATGATCACATATGTGTACACTTACAGGAAAAACACATAACACATAAAATAAAAACTAATTTTTTTTTAGAAAAAGCTTGGTATAGTAGCACAGGCCTTTAATCCCAGCTCTCAGGAGATAGAGGCAGAGACAGGCAGATCTCTGTGAGATAAAGGCCAGCCAGGTCCATATAGTGAGTTCCAGGCCAGTTGGGCTACAGGTATCTCAAAAAACAAACAAAAAAGTTAAGTTGAGCCCAAGCTGGCAAGTAAGGAAACCAGCAGTGCTGCTCTCTGAAGAAGAGCATCTTGGCCTGCGAAATAGAGCAAGTACCTGAGCTGGGAGCTTGCCTGACTCATGCAAGAGCAATAGGAAGAGCAGTAAGGAGCAGAGCAGGTGGAGGGGAAGGTAGTGGTCACAGGTCACCTGTGGGAAGAGATCTCTGTAAGGACTTGGTGTTCTGTTCTCAGTGGGTTGGAGCTGATAGGTGGCAAGCACAGATAGGTGGCCCCGCTTGACTTGTGATTCTGAAGTGACCACTCTAGCTACTGGTCTGAGCAAGGACTACAAGGGCAAGCAGAAATTGGGATGTGAGCAATGGACCAGGGAAGTAGTCATTGTGGGGTTAAGAAGGGGTCCATAATTAGTAGGGTGATGGTGTTGTTGAGCTGATTGGAGTGTGAGAGAAGTTGGGATATATCAGGGTTTTCAGATTTAGCCTGAAAGGATATAGTTGCTGTTCACTGAAAAGGGGGTGATTTTAGAACACAACATGGGGAAAATAGCCAGCATTTTATTTAGGGTATTTTGTTTGAGATACCTGTTAAACATGCAATTGAGAATGTGATTTTTTGAAATTTGGGGTACATACGAAAATTCTGAGGTGAATGAGATTATTAAGGGGAGTAACAAGAAGCCCCAAGGACTGCCAGGGCCTGTTGCTGTGCTCTTTTTTTCCTTTGGAGAGGCCTCAGGAACATTTTTACTTCATTCTTGTTAATTCTTTAGTAGTGATGAATTTATCCTGGTAAGTACAGCATTGTTATTTCTGGAGAATGTGTTACATCACAGTATATAAACAAAGGGCATCTAATAGAAATAGTTGACTGTGATAGGGAACTAAGCCATGGAGATGACTTCTGTGGAAATGACTTTTCCTATTCTCTTTCAGCATCCATGAGTTTTTGGCCACATGCCAGGATTATCCATATGTTATGGCAGATAGTTTACTGGATGTTTTAACAAAGGGAGGGCATTCCAGGACCCTGCAGGAGTTGGAAATGGTAAGCATGCTGCTAAGGAAACAGGGCAGTTTATAAATGGCTTTGAAGCATTAGTCATTCAGTGTTATGAGACCTGGGATTAACCAATGTGACAGCTGAACTCCACTCCCCTGAAAAGCCAGCCCAGCCCGGAGGGAGGCTATGGGTGGAGGACAGTGAATGGAAAGAGCTAGAACATTGCCATTTTCTCCTTATCTTGGCACTGTAGGACTACAGAGCTCAGAGGTCAGTGGGTGCTGTGTAGCCTAAGGGAAAGGCAAGTCTTGCTTGTGCACTGAGAACAAAGCTGGCTGACATGGTGGGGAATGTGCTCTTCCCTGTGCAGAATAAAGCCTTCCTCATTGCTGTCTATACAGCACTCAGGAGCCTTCTAGTTCAGTTCTAGACAGTTCACAATCTGGAATAATTCAGACCTGATTGAGATTAGAACCAGGAAACGTTCCCACTGATTTAGAGGAGAGCCCATCTCCAGAACACTTTTCATAGCTCTTGAAGATGGCTGTGTCCTTGGTGCCGTGCACCCCTACAGCCATGCAATACAGTGGTGGTTCCTTCAGTGACTTACCAGCAAGTAGAATCAGCTACTAACTGTAAACCACCACAATAGCTGCTTTGCTCATTCAGCCTAAAAAATGCTAACCTGTACATCAGTTCAAAAGTATGCCTGCTGTATCCTTCCCCTCAGCTAATCAGAATTAATAGTTAACTAAAATTGAATTGCTCTGACTCGATGACTATGGCAATGTATTTCAAAATGTGATCTTTCTGCCCTTTGATTTAGCAATTCCTCTACTCAAAATTTGTCCTACAAAGTAAAACAAAAGTTAGATATATGAAGGATATATGGCTCACAATCTTTAGAAATTGACTAAATCACAATATAAACTTTCAAAGAAACATAACACTTTTTTATGTCTATGATGTATTTATCTTTTCATGTGTACATAACCTCCGATGCATACAACTGTGGGAGACATCTGTATTCTGTGGCATTCGCATGTTTCACAGTAACCATCTGTTGTCAGAGTGTTGCTCCATTAATACCTGTTACTCTCTAGAGTTCCTTGTTGAAAAGACTGTATATTTAGGTATTTAGATACTATTTACCAAGTATCTTCTTACATACATAATAGTCATCTCCCCCCACCCCCCACAGGGTCTCACACAGCCTAAGCTGGCCTCTAATTCATGATCTGTCTGCTGTAACCTCAGAGTGCTAGGTTTACAGTCAGTCATGTGCCACTGCACCTGGCCATGGATATTTTTTGTTGTTGTTTTGGGACAGGGTTTCATTATGTAGCCCTGACTGGCCTGGAATTCCCATGGATCTTAGCATTGCTAGCAACTCACAAGATACTCTCAAAATACTAGTAATTACATTAATCTATGTTGGTTTAAAATATATATTCTTTGTTTTTTTGAGACATGGTCTCCCTGTAGCCCAAGCTGGCCTCAAACTCACAAAGATTTGTCTGCTTCTGCCTCCCAAGAGCTAGTATTAAAGGCATACACCACCATGCCCAACTTAAAATATACATATTTTATAGTCCATATACTTAATCTTTTCTCTTACCACAAAGCTAACAGTTTTCTATTTCCCTTGATAGTTGTGTTTATTCTGTTTTCATAAAAACTTGTTTTTCTGGGGCTGGAGAGATGGCTCAGCAGTTAAGAGTATTGGCTGCTCTTGCAGAACACTGGGATTCAATTCCCAGCACCCACATGGTGGATAACAACTATTTGTAACTCCAGAGTAATCCAACGCCCTCTTCTGATTTCCATGGGCATTGCACAACATGGTACACCTACCTGCATGCAGGCAATACACTCATACACATAAAATAAAAATTGTATTTTTTAAAAAAAATTTTTTTTAATTGTTTTTCTTTATCATTCCAGTCACCACCTGAAGAAGGCGGCCAGACCAGAACACTTGATACAGCAAAAGAAACGGAGGTGATTATATTTTATTCTTTAAATAGAACATATGGTAAAAGACCTAAATGATAAGCTTGGTTTAAGATAAAAATATTCCTTAGGGGCTGGCAAGATGACTCAGGGAGTAAAGATGCTTGTCATACAAGCCAGGTGACCCAAGTTCAGTCTCCAGAATCCATGTAAAGGTGGAAGGAGAGAAACAGCTCCACAGAAGTTCTCTTGTGAGATCGCACATATGAATCATGACATGTGCATTGCTCCTCCACCACACACAATAATTTTTTTTAATTGAAAAAGATATTCCTTGGGGCTGGAGAGGTGGCTCAGTAGTTAAGACCACTGACTGCTCTTGCAAAAGACCCAGGTTCAATTCCCAGCACCCATATGACAGCTAACAACTATCTGTAAACTCCAGTTCCAGGGGATCCAGTGCCCTCTTCTGTCCTCTGCAGGCACTGCATGACATGGGTGCACCTACCTGCATGCAGGCAATATACTTACACACATAAAATAAAAACAGTAATGGGGCTGGAGAGGTGGCTCAGCGGTTAAGAGCACTGACTGCTCTTGCAGAGGATCCAGGTTCAGTTCCCAACAGCCACATGGCAGCTACACACTGTCCTTAACTCCAGTTCCAAGGGAATCCAAAGCCCTCTTTTAACTTGAGGCATTGCATGACACGGGTGCACCTACCTGCATGCAGGCAATACACTTACACACATAAAATAAAAACAGTAATGGGGCTGGAGAGGTGGCTCAGTGGTTAAGAGCACTGATTGCTCTTACAGAGGACCCAGGTTCGATTTCTAGCACCCACATGGCAGCTATGAACCGTCCTTAACTCCAGTTCCAGAGGAATCCGAAGCCCTCTTCTGACCTCCATGGCACTGCACGACACGGGTGCACTCACATACATGCAGGCAACACACTCACATAAAATGAAAATAATAAAATATAAAAAACAAATAAAAACAATAATTTTTTTTAAATATCCCTTGAAGCTGGGCATGGTAGTGCATACCTTTAATCCCAGCACTTGGGAGGCAGAGGCAAGTGGATCTTTGTGAGTTCGAGGCCAGCCTGGTCTACATAGTAAATTCCAGGACAGCTGGGGCTACAGGGAGACCCTGTCTCAAAAAGACAAAAAAAAAAAAATCCCTTGAATATGTGGGATAAAAGTAAGTTTTGCCTTTGGGAGTTTAGAAGTAGCTCTTTTTTATGTTTTTGTGTGTGTATGTATGTTTTGCTTGCATGTACGTAAGTACACCACATGCGTGCAATGCCTGAAGTGGCCACATCCTCTGGAACTGGACTTGTAGATGGTTGTCAGTCACCATGTAGGGTACTAGGAATCAAACCCTGGTCCTCTGGAAGAACAGCAAGTGTCCTTAACCACTGAGTCATCTCTCCAGCCTCAGAAGTAACTCTTGTAGTAGACAGGCATGTAAAGAAGGGAGCCCACATCAGGTACCACAAAGTATAACCACCCAGTGTGTGCACACCCAGGGTTGGGGAACTCAGCTGTTCTCAGGAGCTGTGAGAACAGAGCAAGATGAAGAGACATTCATTCTCTCAGAAGGCAGGAGATATGCTCAGTGAGCCCAGAAAGGAGGTGGCCTAGGGTTCCTGAGGAGAGGTAGACAAGCGGTGGGGCTGCATAGGTGGGAGCACAGTGATGAAGCATAAATTTTCCCCAGAAGAAAAAACACGGGATACTGTGATAAAAATGTAGCGAAAAGAGGGGACCATTGAAAAACTGGAGTTATTTACATAGAAAATGATTAGCCTATCAGTATAAAGGAAGAGAATCCAGACTGGGAAAATATAAAAGGAAAAAAAGTTCCTGAAAAGGACATTAAAATTGACATTACCTGGTATGTGAGGTAGATGATCAGATTATTAGCTGATATAGAATGTACAGGAAGAACCCCCATCTTTGAGAGAGAAGTCAAATTGAGTTTCACTTGTGAGAAGTGTTGGGAACATTGCTGGGGTATGGGCCTGGTCATCTGAGAAACAGGTTGGAGAGATGGCTCAGAGGTTAAGAGCTCTTGCAATGGACCTGAGTTAGATTCCCAGCACCCACATGATGGCTAACACACATCCCTGTAACTCCAGTTCTAGGGGATCTGATGGCCTCCGTGGGCATTGCACAACACAGGTGCACCTGCCTACATGCAGGTAATACATTCATACATATAAAAATAATAACATTTTTAAAAAGACGTCTAAGGAGAACAACGGGGAAAAGTTAAAGGACAAAACTTTGGAGAATTCCAAAGTTGAATAATGTTGAAAACCTGTGAAAGGATGTTTAGCAGAAAGGGAGGAGGTTCAATAAGGTAAGAAGCAGCAGAGAAGCCCAGTAAGAAGGGCCCTTGCAAGTGTCGTTCGCAATTTTGATCAAAGAAATCTCAGTAAAATGATAGGGACAAAAGGTAGACGTCAGTGTGTCAAAAAACTAGAGGACACTGGACTAAAAGGATGCTTAAGATAGGACAGATGCAAGCCAGACTTAAATGAGGGGAAAGAAAAAATCAGGATATGAGGTCAAGATAGATACAGATGTTGATGGTATTTAGGCATCTTTGGGAAAGGAGCCAAGCAGGATCTTGTGCTTAGTGAGGAAAAAATAGTGAAAGAATGAGAAAGGAAATTGGATGATTTAAAAAGACTGGGGGCTTGAGGCACACTGGTTAAGAGCATGTGCTGCTTTTGCATAGGATCTAAATTCAGTTCCCAGCACTCATGTCAGTTGACTCACAACTGCCTGTAACTCCAGATCCAGAGAATCTGATGCCTCTGGCGTCTGCAAACACCTGCACTCACATGCACATACCCACACAGAGACAGGCATACATATAATTTAAAATCATTTTCAAAATATTTCTTAAGGAAATTTTTTAATAAAAAGCTGTTAGAGTTGTGAAAATCCGGCTAAAATGGCAAACCATGTACTTGCCCCCAGTGCAGAGGTGTGCCCTGTTCTTGCATGGCACTTTCAGTCCCCACATAGGTAGTCAGATATGCACATTGATTGAACACACCCAATACCCGAGTACAATTGGAGCTATGTACCTTTGGTTACTTCGTGGGTTGATACAGTCCAAAAAGCAGTGTTGAGGTTAGGAAATTTTGAGTCTTGGGAATCCAAAAATAAGCTGCACTCATTTTAAAATTCTGTTCTTTCCTGCAGTACTGTTGGTAAAGCTTTGGGGCCTGAAGGAGCCTCAGAGCTGCTAATCCTGATCTGTAGAATGCAAGTGAACTGGCTGGGCTGAAACATTTGCCTGAGTCTCCAAAACATAGGCATTGGCATCACCAAAAGCACTTGGCAGTTTAGCCAGGGCCAGGCTCTTAGTACTTCTTCCGATGGTTGCCAAATGTATGGGATGATGCAAATCACATAAGGCAGTTTTACATTACATTTACATTACAGAGAAGTATAGATTTATGAACACTTTTTTGCCAAGATTTGAGAACAACATTTTTAAAAAGGGTTCTTGGAAGATACTTTTGGTAGCCATCAAAATTATGACTAAAATGAGTACGTGAAAGAACCTTCCCTAAAAGCACAAGCCGTCATTGCTCATATTTTCAGCACTCATTTTTAATTCTTTAAGTTTTTTTTTTTTTTTTTTTTTTTTTTTTTTTTCTCATGTTGAAACAGATCTCACAGATAGAGCCAGTGGGGCGTTTGGAGTCCGGTAGTCAGGACAGGCTCACAGCACTGAAAGCAGTAACAAACTTTGGTGTTCCAGTTGAAGTCTTTGACTCTGAAGGTAAGTGTTTGGGACCACTAGTTGCTGGAAACTGTACAACACCAGCAGTCAAGATTTGGCTGCCACATACATCAGTGTTAATGTATTCAAACTAGCGTTTGTTACAGGAAAATCTTTGCCCACTAAGCTCAGAGACTAGCAAAGTATGGTCATGCTGTTGGTCTCTTTGGAAGAAAAGAGGCTAACCGTTATATGGCAGAGCCTGGAGTAGAAGACTGAGTTTACCACAGATCAAACACAGGTTACTTTTGTTTTCTTCAGCATGTTGTTCTTACACAGAGGCAGAGATGTTCCAGAAGAAGCTTGATGAGACTACAAGATTGCTCAGAGAGCTCCAAGAAGCACAGAACGAGAGGCTGAGCACCAGGCCTCCTCCCAATATGATCTGTCTCTTGGGTCCCTCTTACAGAGAAATACACCTTGGTATGTTTGCCTCCAGTAATGGGAGAGGTGGGGCAGGGGTGCACAAACAAAAGGTTCTCAGCAGGTGAACAGCACTGTAAAGTGAATGAGGAGACTATCAACACTATTGGATGAAGTAGTTTTGGCATTTAGACATGTATAGTTCTTTAGGGTTGTTAAAAAATTATCAGGAGCTGGGGAGATGGCTCAGGCAGCAAAGTGCTTGCCATGCAAGCATGAAGACACTGAGATCTGCTCTCCAGTGTAAAAGCCAGATGCAGTGATGCACATCTTTACCTTCTGTGCTGGGGGGGGAGGGGAGGGGAGGGAGGTGGAGATCACCAGCTCCCAGGAGCTCACTGGCCAGCCAGTCTAGCCAAATCAGTGAGCTTAAGGTTCAGTGAGAAAGTGTCCCAACAAGACAGAAAGTGACTGAGGTAGGCACCCAGCATTGACCTCATGCACACCATGTACCTGTACACAGATTATCTAGGTGGCATAACTTACAATTCTGGCCCTTGGAAGTCTGAGAGGCAGGAGGAATGCCATGTATTCAAGGCCAGCTAGGGCTACATAGCAAGACATCTCTTTATGTGTATAGGTGTTTTGCCTGCATGTATCTAAGTATGCCACATGTGTGCAATGCCTGCAGAGGCCAGAAGAGGGCCTCAGATCCCCTGCAACTGGAGTTATGGACAGAGACAAGCTGCCTTGTGGGTGCTGGGAATCAAACTCAGGTCCTCTGCAAGAGCAGCCAGAGCTCTGAATCACTTAAGCCATGTCCCCAGCCCTAAACCCTTCCTTGTCTTTTTTTTTTTTTTTTTTTTTTTTTTTTTTTTGGTCTTTTTGAGACAGGGTCTCCCGGTAGCCCCAGCTGTCCGGAACTCACTATGTAGACCAGGCTGGCCTTGAACTCACAGAGATCCTCTGCCTCCCGAGCACTGGGATTAAAGGCGTGCACCACCATGCCCGGCTACTTCCCTGTCTTTTAAAAAAGAAACTTTTAAAAGAACCACTTTGATACCTGGAGGGTTTTTTTTCTTTTCTTTTTTCCCTAGCTGAACAAGTGACCAATAACCTTAAAGAACTTGCACAGCAAGTGACTCCAGGTGATATTGTGAGCATGTATGGAGTTCGAAAAGCAATGGGGATTTCTATTCCTTCCCCCATGGTGGGAAACAGCTTCGTGGATTTGACAAAAGGTAAGTGCCCTATTTTCGTGGGTAGAAGGCTGTTGTGAGTAAAAAGAACACCTTCCCTTCAGATAACATTTAAGAGCCTTTGTCTGGTTTGACTTTGTTTTTAATTTTTGAGGTTAGCATACAAAGGCTTTATCATGGGATCATTCAGTTTTCCCTCCATCTCGTTTAAAGCATTAATAGAGGTGACGCATTTGCCAGAAAGCTGCAGCAGTAGCTTGCTAAATGCAGCACTTTGTGGCTGTGACTCTTCTGAATGCTGGCTTCCTGGTCTCTTTTCACTTTTGTGGGACAAAATGCTGAGTGGTATCTTCTTCCTTCAGATTTTGAAGAATCTAAGAAGACTGGGGTTGCTGATTTTGGGCCAGATGGGAGCTGAAGCCAACCTGGTATTTGATTATGTATTGTGTACATATTTTTTTTCATTCTGAACTTGGAAATGCTTTTCAGAAAATATTAATATTTGTAAATTGTGTTCTTAATTAAACTTTGGGACAGTTCATTTTAATGTTCCAGAGATTGGACTTCTATTAGGTAATAAAGCTGACCCTAGAACTGTGAGAAGAGTATTGTGCATGTCAACTGGGTTGCCCCTTGACCTCGCCTGACTTCTGTCTGAGGATAGAAGCCTAAAACAGGAAACGGCCTTTTTCATGATCATCTTTTCAAGGGAGCAAGTCCTCAAAATAAATGAACTCCATTTTTCACATTACCACCCTCATTAAAGAAATCACAACCAGATAGTTAGAAGATCTGACTTACCACATTTCATCATGACTTACTCAGAAAGTGGCCTTGGTGAGCAAGGCTGTGACCATCCCGGTAGGTGCCTTTCAGACTGGTGCCAGTGCTGCTCAAGTTTAACTGACAAGACCCAGTTTTTGTTGGTTTGTGTGTGTGTGTGTGTTTTGGGGGGATTTGGGGGGGCATGGGTGCCACACACAGCACATGTGTGGAGGTCAGACAAAAACTTTTGGAAGTTGGTTCTGTCCTTCCTTGGCTTGAACTTGGGTCATCATACTTATGCAGCAATTGCTTTTACTCACTGAGCCATTTTACTGGCCTAGGACCCAGCTTTTTAAAAATAGCCCTGTTAGCTGGGTGTGGTGGCGCAGCCTTTAATCCCAGCACTCGGGCAGGAGGCAGAGGCAGGCGGATCTCTGTGAGTTCTTCAAGGCCAGCCTGGTCTACATAGTGAGTTCCTGGACAGATGGAGCTACAGGGAGACCCTGTCTCAAAAAGACCAAAAAAAAAAAAAAAAAAAAAATAGCCCTGTCTAGTGAGACTTTCCAGCATCACACCATGAAAGCAAACACACTCATGATAATGTCAAAGTTTACTAGTATGGTTCCACTCCCTTTGTCCCTGATGGGAATCATGTCTTCATAGTGTGGTGATCAGGTGCCTCCTCTGCCCCCCACAAACAAAAAAAGTAGGCTGGGAGATTTATATTCTAATACGCCTAGTGTAATATTTTTTCTGTTTTTGTTTTTTTCATTTTTTTGTAGTTATTTGGTGCTACAGCAAAAAGATAAGCCAAATAAGATAAACTGAATCATCCTTGAACACATCAGAGAACTTCCAGGCTTAAAAGAAAGCTTGCTTCTGCTTAGTGTTTCTCAAAGGTGTGCCTCAGCAGTGCCCATTCAGCATTGCCTTTTACTTAAATACAAAGGTCAACTGTCCAAGCAGATTATTTAGGTAGGAGGACCATCGAGTATGTCCCCTTCTGTCACACATTACTGGGCTGAGGTGAACAGTGATTTTTTTTCTAAATCTAGTTCAAGATGTAACCTGTTTAAAATAAAAGGCAAACTGGGTGTGGTGGCTCACACTTGTAATCCCAACACTTAGGAGGGTTGCCAAGAATTTGAGGCCAGCTAGGCTACAGAATGAGACCCTGCTTCAAACACAAAAAACTATGGGGCTGGAGAGGTGGTTCAGTGGTTGAGCATGTACTGCGCCTTGTAGAAGACCCAAGTTTGATTTCTAGCACCCACATCAGGCAGCTTACAACCATCTGTAACTCCAGCTCCAGAGGATTTGACACTTCTGACCTCCATAGGCAATGACACTCGTGTATATACCCATACATAGGCGTGTACACACACACACACACTTTAAAAATAAAAATTTCAGGGGCTGGAGAGTTGACTCAGTTAAGAACATTACTCTTGCAGAGGATAAGGGTTCGATTCCCAGCACCCACATGGTGGCTAGCAACTGTCCATAACTCCACTTCCAGGGGATCCAACACCCTCTTCTGTGCTCCAAGGCCATTGCATGACATGGGTGCACCTAACACACATGCAAGTACAACACTCAAACACATAAACTTTTGTAAAGGGAGGGAGGCCTAGATAGACAGCTCAGCAGTTAAGAGCTCTGGCTGCTCTTGCAGAGGACCTGGGTTTGATTCTTAGCACCCACATGGCAGCTGACAACCATCCATTTCCAGGAGATCCAACACCCTCTTCTTGCTTCTGCAGGTACCGTAGAACACGGTGTACTTAACATACATGCAGGTATAACACTCATACACAAAAATAAATTTAAAATATTTTTTAAATAATTTCACCAGGCGTGGTGGCGCATGCCTTTAATCCCAGCACTTGGGAGGCAGAGACAAGTGGATCTCTGTGAGTTCAAGGCCAGACTGGTCTACATAGTGAGTTCCAGACCAGCTAGGGCCACAGGGAGATACTGTCTCAAAAAGGATGAATGAATGAATGAATTTCAGGCTGGGCATGATGGTGCGTACCTTTAATCCCAGCACTCGGGAGGCAGAGGCAGGTCTCTGAGTTCCAGCCCAGCCAGTGCTATACAGTGAGACCCTATCTCAATACATAAGTACAAAAATAAATAAAATTTCAGGATGGGTGTAATGCAGATCAATGAACAAAATAAGTAGCACTTTCTGCAGAACATCCAGACAGGAAGGCATTTTATATTTTCTTGACTTGAAATTAACATTAAGCAAGAACAGGAAGGTAAAGAAGAGTTGATTCTCTTAAGAAATGTGAAAGTGATCTTTAAAACCCACCTGGACTATTATGCTGATGGGGAAAAAATCAGTTCAAGTATATTTGTATCAGCTTTTACTGGAGTTTGATCTCTAAAATAAAATTTAAGGGTTGGAGGTGTAGGTCTGTTGGTAGACTGCTTGCCAAGCACACATAGGCTTTGGGTTTGCTCCCCAGAACCACATAAACTGACGGTGGTGGGCTGGGGAAATGGCTCAGTGATCAAGATGTTTGCCTTGCAAGCCTGACAACCTGAGTTTGGATCCCCAGAACCCATGTAAAAAGCTGGATGCAGTAGCACACACGTCTGTAATCTCTGCATTTCCGTGGGATGATGGGAGACAGAGACCAGAATCCCCAGTTCACAGGCCAGCTAGCATGGTACATGTAATGGTGGAAAGAGACCTTTCTCAACCAACATGGAAGGTTAGGACTAACACCTGAGGTTGCTTTTTCACCTCTACACACAGGACCACACTCATGAACATGCATATACACATGAAAAAAGTAAACTATAGTGACACACACTAATCCCAGCACTGAGGAGATAGAAGTAGAAGGATCAGGAGTTCAAGATGATCTTTGACTACATAATTCAAGGCCAGCTTCGGCGTACATGAGACCTTGTCCCCAAAATAATTTAGGAAATAACACATTCTTCATCTTTAGATCTACTTGGTACAGGTCAGTTCCTGAAGACTAAGAGGATACTTTAATTCAGAACACTTTAGGATGTTAAGGGTTTCAAATTGTTGGTTTAATGTATAAAAGGAGCCAGGCACTGATAATTTATGAAAATGAAACAATCTTATAACAAATGTTACAGATCTATAAATATTAAACATACAAAACAAACCATAGTTATTTGCATGTACCCTCTCAAAACATACTTCTGAACATTGACCTATTATATACAGGAAGTACACGGGGGTAGTAATCATCTTTTCTGTTGGGAAATTAATCCTTAAGAAGTAAGCCTTGTGGTTTTACTTTTCCATAGTTGGTGAAGCCTGCGTTAGTGGAAACCCTAAAGTAAGTTTTAACCGACAGGTCATTGTTAGGAAAAAATACTTGTTCCTATGATAAAATGACACCTGTGAAATTACTTGGCAATTCACAAATAGATTTTAAAAAAATAAAGACAACTGCAAGTGATTTTTAGTCAGTTACACTCTGTAACCTGAACATTATCTTACAAAATACTCTTGTCTGAGCAGAGTGCTTCATTTGAAAATAAAAACCACCGCCAGCTATTTTTAAACTCCCACTTAGGGTTTCTGTTGGTGCAGGGAAAAAGTAGCTTGGATGTTGGCAGAAATGTGTCCACCTTGGAAAGCTTTGTTGTGCTCTGCATGTGTGTCATGTCAGCAGCAGGAGTCTTCCTGACTCCCCAGGAGACCCTCGCTGGGAGCCCCGACACTACTAGATTTTGGGAGCACATATTTCAGTACAGCGCCCACCTGAAACTGGCCCTTCAGTGACAAAGGAGAATAAAAAACAACGTAGTCAGGCATGGTGGCGCACGCCTTTAATCCCAGCACTCGGAAGGCAGACAAGCAGATCTCTTGAGTTCAAGGCCAGCCTAGTCTACATGGTGAGTTCCAGGCCAGCTGGGACTGCAAGGAGACCCTGTCTCAAAAAAAAGACAAAAAAATAAAAAAATACACATACACAAAAAAAGCAATAATGTAGGTGAGGCTTTCCCTCGCCAGTGTTCTGCCCTAAAATTAAGTGTTCATAATACAAATGTACTGGTTCTGGTTACATAACGGTGCTACTGGCCCACCCGGTACCTCTGTGCAAATGAGAATCAGTCCCTCTTCCCCAGACTGATAAAGCCCCATAGGACACAGGCGGGGCAGACAAGGCCTGTCTCCCTTCTGCATCCTAGACTGTACTACACCAGGGTGGTGACTCATGCTGGACCCAGTCTCCCAGATAAACCCTGCTGGTTGAGTACCCTGGCTGCAGCCTTGTGTGATCATTAGAGTCCTGTGTATATGATTCTGTGTACTTTAGGAGGTTTGTTGATGACTTACTAGCTGAGAACACTGATGTAGTGAAGTTCTGTGGCATTAGAACTCTTGAGGATGCAGTGATCATGAGGTGGCAGTGAAGTCACTTCCGAAAACCAGTAGGATGTTGGTCATTCTCACTTTGGTCAGGTGGCTTCTTTCAGGGGCTCACAGAGTTCTCACAAAGCTGGCTTTTGCCTTGACTCATTTGAATAAGAACAAGGGCATTTGTTGAGGGGCTGAATTCCCAGGCCAGGAGCCTTAGCACATGTTCCTGCCTGATAGATCCTAATTCTGCAGCTCTCTAGGGTCCACCTGGAAGACTGGAGAAGAGGCAGGAGATATCATAGGTTGCCTAAGCCCTCTCTTCATACTCAACACTTCCCCATAAAAAGATGTGACGCTGGGCATAGTAGTGCACATCTGTGGTCTCAGTACTCAGGAAACAAGCAAAGGGGGAGGATGGCAAGTTTAACCTGGTGACCACAAATCTGTGACCCTGACTCATATTTCTAGGTTTTTACTGACCTCATCCCAAAAGGCTTGCCTCCGAATGCCTGTTCAGAGCCAGGACTTCGCGGCTTTTTACCTCCTGCTGAGCCACGTTTGTCAGAACTCTGTCCCTCAGCCATGCTAATCCCATAAGCTGACACTGGACTATTTACATGAAGTCAGTGGTTAAAAAGAATATATGGAGAGCAGAGATCTTTGTCTAGCATCTAAGAAGTCAGTAATAAAGATAAAACTCATGTTAATGATGTATCCATTTGCCAGAGATGTCAAGAAGTGACTTCAGTTGCAAGTTGTTTTCTGTTGAGACTACCTGCTGATGGGATCACCCTTTGCAATTCCATTTGCCCAAATGCGCATGCCATGACTGGAACTGCTAGGGAGAAGGGAGACTCCAACCCATGCTAGACAGGCTGACTGAGCCTCCTGTGACAAGAGTTGGCCTCCCTGTATATGTTAATGGGCACCAGCATAGATGTCTGTCTTGGTCATGCACTGAGGTCACCTCCCCAGCACTCTGGGAACACAACCAGCAGCCAACCAGTCGTCAGCTAACTTGGAACTGCACAGGTTCTGGCTGCCACCTATGTCACAGCTTAGTGACCACCTCAAGTGGAATCTGGTGCCCATGTCAGAGTCATCCTCTAGTGTAAGTCCAAAGAAGCCACACACGGCCTACCGCTGTGGTGTGGGGCTCTCTTCTCTTTGGCTCATTCAGGGAAAGAAACAGCACCAAACACCTTTAGTTCAGCCCCAGTCCTTGAACCTTGGCAGTGTCTGTACACACAAAGTAAGTCCTCAGCTCGCCTTTGCCTTTAACGTTGATCAGCCCCCGGCACTCACAAGAATAACCCAGTCCCTGGAGGATTATGCACGTCTCTTCTGTAACCTGAAATGAAGAAAGCAGTGTCTTCAGAGAAGAGGCTAGCCAACAAGCAGCATGTGTACCACCTTTCCCGGACAAGGGTGGCTGGAGCCACACAGCCGAGTGATAGAAGGGCCAGGCCTTAGACCCAGGATGCCTCCTCTGGAAGGTCTTTCCCCTCCGTGCTTCCCAGTAGACTTCTACCTGTATTTTCCCAAGTTCTCCAGTGCTTTCCATGCGGCTGGCAACATTGACTGTGTTTCCCCAGATGTCATACTGAGGCTTGCGTGCTCCAATCACTCCAGCAATCACAGGCCCGTGGTTTATGCCTTAAGATAATGTTACATTTAGCCATTCATAATGATGCTGAGGGGAGCCCACAGAAAGGGGTAATAAGGCAGCTGAGATGCAAGTTCCCTTGGAACTGCTTCCCTCTGTCTGCAAGGTAAGCTCCCTGAAGTGAAAAGCATGCCCCAGCTGGCTCTCCCTTTACTCCAGGGCCCATTTTAATCTAGTATCTGCTAACTTCCCTTTTTAACAAAAATAAATGGGCTTCAAGTGCCTACCCTTTGAACTAACAATGACTGGTTAGGTCAATAAATTTATTATGGTCTCTGTATATTAAAATAACATTTCCAGCCATGATTTTTGGTTCTGTACTTTGTATAGTTATATAGTCTTTCGATTTTCAAAGGTAGGGGTTAGTGGTCAGTGAGATGGCTCAGCGGGTAAAGGCACTTGCTGCCAAGTTCAGTCCCAAGAACCAACTCCTGCAGCTTGCTCTCTGCCCTCCTTATGCGCACACACATACTAAGTAAGTGTAATTTTAAAAACAAAAGGTAGGACTTGGGGAGATGGCTCAGTTGGCAAAGTGCCCTGCAGGCATGAGGACCTGAGTCCAGCACCCCTGTAAGAGCTGGGCATGGCAGCACACATTTGTAATCCCAGCACTAGAGAACCAGATAGGTGGATTTCTTGGGCCAGTTAGCAAGCCCAGGACTCAGACACTGTCTTAAAAAATAAGGTAGCTTTTGACATCTGGCCTCCACACACGTACACCCACATACAACTGCATTTTTTTCCCCAAAGGTACAAGCACTGTGCAAAGGAAATCAGAATTAATGATAAACCAACCAGATTCATCGTTATCAGTGGAGCTGCTGAAACCTTAGAGTAGGGGCCTGGGACACCTGCCTCTCCTTGTCCCACCAACCAAGAGGCCCTGCCCATCTTCGGGCCTCACCAACTCGGAGACGGAAGGAGTTGAAGGAATGCCTGTTGATTCCATCCAGCTTGCTCATCAGGGCCATGCTGAACTCCACCAATACACCAATGTGCACATGCTGCCGCTCCTGGTCCTGCAGGACATAGGTGCTGAGGGTCTACCCTACCTCCCCTCTACACAGTTGTGAACAAGAGCACTGCTGTACCTGTGTCCCATGGGGATAGGTTCCCTGTCCCCACCAAGAATCTCCAGGCTCAGCCACACAAGGCCTCTACCCCCATGACACACAGGGCAGAATTAGCAAGTGTCCCCTTTAGTAAGGTGGCAGGATAGGGGACTGCTGTTGTGTTTCCTTTTCCAAAGGCCTACAGTACCTGGTTCTCGTGCCCTGAGGGGACACTGAGCCCCGCTGCAGCCATGTAGGTGCTGCCAATGGTCTTGATCTTCTCCACGCCACTGAACTTGGGCTTCAGCAGCAGCTGTAAAACAAAAAAAAGTCAATGTTGCCAGGGTGCCGAGGGAAGGGGACGACCTTCCTTCCCCTGCTGCTCATGCAGATGTGTCTCAAACATGGCCTTGTCCATCTGAGCTGATGACTAAATACAGGTGCAAATACAGCCTCACCTCATCCCCTTGTCCCTTCCCTTCCCATCCTTTAAAGTGCAAACCACCCAGTGTCATCTATTCAGAGGTGAGTTAGTGTCTTCCTGAAATGGTTGACAGCATGGGCTTAGCCTGAGTCAAGATTATTCTGGAACAGCTTACATCTCTTAGCACCTGTCCAGCACAGATTTGATGAAAGATTTGCTGAATAAATTGATAAAAATGTGTCCTTTAAGTATTTGCCTACAGTTCTGATGGGGGGATGCGACGTGTTTTGTTTAGCTGCTGCTTTCTTACAGGACTGCGGATCAAGCCAGAGCCTTGCACATGCTAGGCTTGCACTCTACCATTGAGTCACCGCTAGCCTCAGCATCACTGGTTTGGGTTGTTTGGGATGCCCACGCCTCCACCCTGCCCTTGCCCCCGCACAGGTGGGCTGCACACCCCTCTACAGCTGAGCCAGGCTGCACCTCATCAAAGTCGGCGATGATCTCGTTCAGCAGGCGAAGGCACTCTAGCCCTTCTTTGTTGACATCGCATTCCGTGTAGAACACTTTGAAGTCGGGAACGGATGCAAACATGACACAGACACAGTCATAGGACTGATGGTACCAGTCCTGCAGCAGGGCAGAGGGAAAACATGACACTGTCTGTGGCCATGAAGCCTGGGGAAGGGCTGGGATGCAACTGTTGCTGAGCCATCCAGAGGGCAGGGTTCTGAATCTGGTGGGGAGGGTCAGGCCCAGGCTGGTGAGCACTGTGACAGGTCATACACAGCAGGAAGAGTCCAGTCAGGAGGCAGTTTACTGAGCCAGTCACTGGGCCCATTTCCTATCTAGAAGACAAACTGCCACACACTAGAGGAAGTACAAATGTCTCATCAACATAGAACATCCAGAGGACAGACGCCTGAGCATGTAAAAGGTCAGGACTCTTCCCAGTGGTAGATGTCAAGGCCAGGAAGTTGAAGCCCCTTGTCCACGTCCCCAAGTGAACCCAGACCCTAACTCTTTAGTTACCCGTGTTTGTAGCAGGTCCTCTCCTGGGTGTACTGGTGAGCTGCCCAGGCATCTCTGCCCCACAGTCCTGACTAGAGTACCCTCTCAACACACCTCAGCTGCCTTGTCACCGATGAAGTGGGCAGCCACGTGGGCTGGCAGCACATTCTCCAGGAGCAGGCGGTTCACATTCTCCATGGTCTCAAATTCCTCGTGCTCCTTCTTGAACTTCTTCTTCCACAGATAGTCCAAGCGGCAGTAATAGTCAATCTGCAAAGCAGTGAGCCAGCAGCACAACCGATGAGACACCACCCAGGGGCTGTGGCCTAGGGTACTGGATGAGCCTACCAACGGTGCCCCTCCCTCTAGCCCCTCCCAGCCCTGTCCAGAACAAGACCAAGATGAAAGGCCTCTGCCATCTTGGTATCTGAGGCCTTGCCGTCCACACACTGCCTGCCCTCTCGGGAGGCTGAGCTAGGAGCCCACACACCTGTCTAGACAGCATGACGAGGGTGGCGTAGAACAGGACCAGGTAGAAGTTGATCATGGTCTTCAGGTCCTTCTGTGAACATTCCAGGGTGCTGCTGGGGGAGGGGAAAGTCAGCTGAGCCCCCAAAGCAAGGGTGTGGCTGTATGTGCTTTGTGTGGCCCACACGGTGCCCCTCCCTCTAGCCCCTCCCAGCCCTGTCCAGAACAAGACCAAGATGAAAGGCCTCTGCCATCTTGGTATCTGAGGCCTTGCCGTCCACACACTGCCTGCCCTCTCGGGAGGCTGAGCTAGGAGCCCACACACCTGTCTAGACAGCATGACGAGGGTGGCGTAGAACAGGACCAGGTAGAAGTTGATCATGGTCTTCAGGTCCTTCTGTGAACATTCCAGGGTGCTGCTGGGGGAGGGGAAAGTCAGAGCTGAGCCCCCAAAGCAAGGGTGTGGCTGTATGTGCTTTGTGTGGCCCACAGTTGCAGCTATGCAGAAAGAGGAAGAGGGAGCCCAAAGACAGTTGGAGGCCTTCTGGATCACCTCAGAAGGGTAAAATCTGCTGAGTGAGAGTCCAAAAGTAGCCAAAAGTTCCTCGGCTTTCAGGAGCCAGGGCAGTGACTTGACTGGGGCAGGTCAGAAAACCCTTTTTTTTTTTTTTTTTTAAACTAGGTCCTCAAGCTTCCAACCTCACCTAGTATAGCACAAGGGAGCCAAGCTCTTTCCTCACTCCAAAGCCTCTGGGACCACACAGTTCAGCCCTTTCCAAACCACAGGCTTGTACACCTGCCCGGTAGACAGACAGTGTCACTTCTGAAATTGGCAGTCCAGACCACAGCTCAGGCTAAGGTAGCCCAAGTCTCCATCATCCCTTGGCTGGCCCAGAAACAGAAGGAGCCTGATGGCCAGGACCTCCCCAGGAACCCACCAGTGAGCCACATCCTCATCCCTCACTGTCCCACCTGGGGACAGTCACTGTCTCTTCTGTAAAGCAGAAAGCACACCAATTGCCCATGGGAGTCTGGTCCAGTGGGACCATGAACATATGAACCCCATAGCTGGGCTAGGTACCAGGTCAAAGCAAACCAGCACTGCAAAAGCCAGCCACAAACAGGCGTCAGTGGCTCGGGTCCTACCTGAGAGTGCTGTTGGTTTCAGTGATGTTGCCTGGGCTGTGGCCACAGCAGTCCAACTGCCAGCACGGGGAAAGGTTGAAAAGCAGCAGATAGGCCACCAGGGCCACTGTCAGCAGCACAACCTTCAGCTCTAGGCTCATCCGCAGAAAGACCGAGCAAGCAATGAAGCCCAGGATGCAGCTGCAGGTATAGTGCTGTGGGTGAGGACCAGTTTTGTGTCAGTCACCAGGAGGCATACCCAGAGCAAGTTAGCACTAAGGCTGGCCCCTCCCACCGGGGGGATCCAGGATCAGGTGTCTGCACCATCGTTGGCCACTGCTGCCCTTTCCTGCAGGGATGAGCAGGGAAGCTACGTGGCTCTACTGTAGTCTGCCCTGGCCTTGCCCTCACCCTGCTTGACGTGGGCCACTGCCGGCCCAGACCTTGGTTTGTGTCAGTTGCCCTGGGCTGTCATTCACCACCTGAGCTCTCTGAGCAAGCACATGCAAGGGGTCACTGACTTCACAGGGGAGGTGACCTGAAGGTGCCCTCTAGTGCTGCTGGTGCCAGTCCCACTCCCTGCCCCGCCCCCATGGCTCTGAGCAAACAGCTGAGACCCAGCCTCCTCTGGTTCCCCAGGTGGAGCAAGCTCAAGCCTTACCTTCACCACCTCTCCCTTGGAGACGCTGGACTCATTCCTCCACCCCACACAGTCTCAGGGCTCAGACACCCAGACCATATCTTACCACCATGAACTATACACTGGCCAGAGTGGCCCAGTAAGAGGACTGGGCCAGGGTCTGAGCTCTGCTCCAGGCCAGGATGGACATACCGGAATGAACTCACACAAGGTCCTGACTCTGTTCCTTGTAGCTAGCAGGCTTGCCTCATTGCCACCAGGCAGCTCCAGGTCTGAGTTAAGCATCAATGGCTAAGGGGAAGACAGGTTTTCATTAGGGTAGATCCAGGGCACAGGGGTCTTGGACCTGCCAGGCCCAAGAGAGGTGACTCAAGATAACTATGGGTACCATGGGTAGCTTAAGGCTGAGTGCTAGACTCTCAGCGGGGCCCAGTAAGTGGCTGCATACACAGCACCCACCAGGTGTGGAGTATAGGGGACTGGGGAGAAAATAGCACAGAACAGAAGTGCTGCAGCAGTGACTCCAGGCAGTGGGAGGGATGTTGAGACATAAGGTTGGACATGGCAGCATGCTCCCCAAACTGCAGCCTGTAGTGTCAGGGACATGATGGAGGGGATTTGGCTCTAGACAAAGGAGCTAGTACAAAGCAGTCTCACACCAGCATGTGGGTTGGACCAGAGGGCAAGGCTCACCCCCTACTGAGGAAACTGAGTCTCAGAGAGGCTAAGAAGGAGGAGATGACCTTCAGGACACCTCACACAGCAGCTCAAATATTCCTGTGGAGGTGCTGGACACCCAAAGTCCTCCCTTGAAGAGGTAAAAAGCTCTAAGCCTGCACTGTGGACCCCACAGACCACTGCAGAGCTATGGAGGGGTCACACCAGATGCAGCTGTCAGGCATCGAGTCTGGAGGTTCCCAGGTGAAAGATGATTCCTCTCCCCATGAGGCACTGGCACAACAGGTCCCTGTCAGGGCTGTCTGTCCTCGCCCAGGAACTCACCATGTTGATGATGGCAACAGTCAGTAGGCTGCCCACGGTCAGCACAACCAGAGACAGCCTCAGCAGAGGCTGTGTCTCCACGCTTTCTGAGATAACCCAGAGCATCCCCCGGGCTGGACAGCACCTCTGTGGAGAGGGACAAGTCACACAGATCAGCAGCTAAGTCAAAGGACAGCCCCACTCAAGATGATACTAGCCAGCCTGGGAAGCAGAGGCCTTGCAAACAGACTGCAGGGGAGGAAGGGGCCATAGGGACAAGGGCAATATACTGAATTCAGGGATCCACTCACTGAGAACTCAGTGGCAAAGCACAGACCTAGCACCATCCCCAGCAGGCAGGCCACCAGTCCAAAGGACACACCCAGAGTCGTCACCCTGGAAAGGAAGAAATCCCGAGTCCAGATCCCTTCCACCAGCCCCAGTTCTCCAGCTCATGGTCACCCGTCCTTCTTCAGTATATATTCTACACCCAGGAAAGGAGAGCTTGAAAAACTGGTCCAACTGCCCCACAAATGACCAAGCATGAAGGTCAAGGTTGTCACCAAGCCCCCAAAGGGGCCAAGTTTTTAAAAAATGAGTCATACCTTTGAGCCTGTCTGGTGTATAAAAATTGCATGAAAACATCCACATCCATTTTCAATTTGGTTTGTTTTGAAACATGGTCTCTCCTGTAGCCCTAGCTGGCCTCCAACTTGCAACAATCCTCCTGTCTCTGCCTCTGAGTACTCTGAGCTTACAGGCCTGGGCTACCATGCCTGATCACTATATGGTCTTTATTAAGCACATCTAAAACCACAATATCAGTCATGTTTTGGTCTAACTGCCCCTCTGAAGCCCATATAGATGAGCACTGCTCCCTTCCTCTGACCTCAGTCCCTTCTCCCTAGCCCTACCAGCAGTACCCCAGAACCTGAAATGGGAATCTCAGGGAGTCCTGGTCCAGGCAAGGTGCCACTAGTTATCTGGGCCTTGTTTCTCCCACTTGGAAGAGGGAAATGACAGTGCTCGCTATTTCCAAAAGCTAAAGCCAGAACTGAACAGGTATCAGAACTTCGCAGGAGAGAGACACTGGAGGACAAGAAGCCTATGATAGGCAAATACCCAGTCACAAGGAAGGCCCCAAAGCTCCACTGTGGGGCCATCACCCCTGCTCCAGTGGCCGGGACTACAGGCCCTGAAGTCACTGAACTCATTAAGGCCACTTCTAGTCAGCCATCAAGCACCATGCCAATCTGTGCTGGATCCTGCCAAGGTCACCACCCCCCAGCTGGACCCCAGTGGGCTTGTGCATCCTCCCCACCACAGGCTGACCTGGACATCACTAGCACGTGGACAAGCAGAATGCAGATGAACACAAGGCTGGCACAAGCGAAGTCGTAGCGGGCCCGGGGGATGGGTGCCAGGCGATACTGGAGGGTGATAGGACCATGAAAGACAGCCACCAACAGAGTCCCTTCATGTCCCAACCCCTCAGTTCATCACCCTAAAATAAAATGCCTGTTGTCCCTCCTGGAGTTCCAGGTGGGTTTTGTAATCATTTGCCCATCAGATCTCTGCTTTCATTTCTGAAGACCTATGGGTAGAAACCAGCCTGAGCTCCTGGGTTGCTACTAGGTCTGACCTTGGCCTTTACCAAGGAGTGAGGCTAAGCCTAGACCCCTGGACCAGTAGGTGGGGGTCCCCAGAGCTGCCCCTCCACATGGGCACAGCTGTGTTGTTACCACCTCATCATGATCCCATGGTAGGTAAGAAACCAAGACTCAGGGTGAAGCAGGCCATGTGGCCAGAGGACACTAGAAAGCACCTATGCTCCTTTCCTGGTATCTTTGTCCAGCATCCTCAGGGAGAGGACCACCCCTCCCCAATAGTAGACACCAGGCCTTGAAAGCCAGAACCATCCTCAGATGGTCACAGCCTGAGGCTAAAGACGGCCAGCTTCAGAACCTCTAAGCTGCAGGTTCCTGTCTAAACTGAACCTGGGACCTGCCTGGATGCTTGGGGAACAGGTAAGTTACATCATGATGTGGATCCAGGACCTGCACGGAGCCATGAGGTGCTCCAGACCTATAGCCAAAGCAGAGGTCACCACGGACCTCCCCACCCACTTGGGAGTACTGGGCCCAAGCATTCAGCCCCACCCACCAGGCCTAAGCCTGTTCCTTGGTGGTGGCTGCCCCAACCTCACCTCACGCTCAAAGCCTTTCTCCAGGAAGATGGAACCAAAGGTGTAGAAGTCATCAGACTTGGAGCAGCAAGGCCTGGGGGACAGCAGCAGGATGGGCCCACACAGCAGGAGGCCACACTCTTGAAGGGCAGCCCCGGGGCAGGGGAAGGAGCTGTGGCTGTCTCCAGTCTTGAGGGGACCCCCCACACAGGAGAGAAGAGGTGGGTAGAGGTCATGGGCCTCACCTGGTAGAGCTGAGCCCCTCAATGGCTGAAAGCATCTCATCATCACAGTCATCCTCTAAGCGCCCCTTGGGAGATGCACTCCTAGAATCAGAAGCCCCCAACTGCATCACCCTAGGGACCCACAGTCACTTATCCAGCAACAGGGATGTGGATGGTGGACTCACCAGTGGGGTTACAGGTATCTGGTGGGATTCCTGAGCTCATGACGGAGGGAGGGGACATATAAAGGGCCAATAGCCCCAACAAGAAACCCAGGGCACATCCCCAAATCCCCTCCCAAACCACCTCTGCTTACCTGCTGTATCAGAGTAGAAACCAGAACACCCCAGCAGCCTTCCCAACCACCACCATCACCTAGCAACCCACCAACTCAGCCCTAGGGTAGCAGGCAATAGGACTCTGGCCCAGTCATTCAAAAGAGCCTGAAACCTGGGAGTCCAGCTCCTAGAAAGGTTGCCACCTGAGACCTGGCACACCCAGGGAGGGCCTGGGCTGGACCTGACAGAGCTGCCTCTGACAAAGGCTGGTCAGGGTGTCTGCCTGCAGGAGGAAACTGGCACAACACCAGGTGGGCAGGGTACAGTTTGGCAGGGAGGGGCGGTGTACCTACCTGTCAGGGGTACGGTGTCGGCGCAGAGGAATGGCCTGGAGGGGAGGGAAAGGAGGAATCGATCATTCCTTGAACTTTGGCCCCCATTTACCATAGGCCTGGGTTTCTTACCTCAAACTGGAAAAGGACAGGGACATTCTAGGATAATCTAGGCCCCACTGGAGGATTCTCCAAATGCCTCCGCCTGCCCAGGAGGGAGGCTGGGCAGAGACTACCCACAATGCAGCTGGAGGAATGAGGCTAGGACGGAGGCCTTTACACTTCGCCCCTTCTCAAGGCCCCTGACCCAGCAACCAGGTGGGAAGAAACCTACCTTGGGCTTCCGTCCATTGGGGATGGGGGTCTCACTGCTGCTCACACTCTCCCGGTGGTTGAGGTGTGCGAAGGGCCGTGCGGCCCCCCAGGACTCCAGGTAGCGGGTCACACGCACCGAAGCCCGCATCTTCAGGGCCGCATCCCCCTTGGGCTTGGGGAGGTGGTGACTAGGTTGAGGCGGCTGCTGGCTCTGAGGACACACAGACAGGACCTTTCCCACCTATTCCGCTCTCAGCCAGCCCCTCCAGTTCTCCCTGAAGTGTGGCTACCCCTGGAGCCCCGGCTGGTCTGGCAAAGGGGAAAATGGTAAGTTTCTGAGCCTGTATTGCCCTTGGACTGCTACCTGCCCTGGGGACTGACTGAAGTCCTCAATCCCCTTCCCTGCCCCAGACTAGGCAACGGCAGGTGACTACACAGCTCAAGGTCAGCCCCAAAGCCTCCTTAGCCTCCTAGGGAAAGATAAGGGCCAGGTCTGCACCCTCAAGGCCCACTGGTCCCTGGTCAGAATTCCTACAGCCCACCCATGAGGCACCCTGAGCAGATGGCACCCAGAGACGGGGTTGGCAGGATCCCTGCCCTATCCACCCACATCTGGCCCACACATGCTCCTTCCTTCCGGTAAGAGCTGTGGAAGATGAGTGCTGGCCTGCATCCAGAGACACAGCCACCAAGGCGCAGGCCTACCCCAGGGCAGCCTTCCGGAGAGTTCCACAACAGGCCCAAGCTCAGCCTGGGGCCATTATCTTCCACAGGCTTGCTGTGGCCCAGCACCGAGATGGGGCTTTGGTGAGTGAGGGTCTAGCTCTGCTTCTTGCCCTAGCGCCACTGAGACAGGCTTGGGCCTTCCCTAGTCAGGGGGGTGAAGTGGTGTTGGAAGCAAAAGGAAAAGAAAAAGGGCCCCAAAGTCACAGATACAAACAGAGGCCACCTTCCCTCTGCTGAAGAGTCCTACCACCCCACCCTGAACATTCCAGACATTCCCCCTCCAGAGCCTGTCTTCTCAGCCCTGCCAACACCCACAGGCCAACACTACAGCACCAGACCCTGGCCAAGGTATAGTGGCCAGCTCCTTTGGGGGTGGAAATCTCTTTAAAACCCTCTTGCTCACCATCTATCCAGCCCAGGGCATGGATGTGGCGTTACACCCAGGAAGGTCCCAGAATCTCAGAAGAAGATAGCCAAGCTCTGCAGTAAGAGCCTTCCTCTGTGGTCCCTTCACTGTGGGCAACACTCCTACACAGCCCAGCCAGACAAGTTCAGGTAACAGAATCCTCTTACAGCAGGGAAGTCAGCCCCCAACCCCAAGAACACGTGCAGAACAAGCAGGAACCGAGTGAGCCCCACAGAGGATGGCCACCCTTCATGGTCTGTGTAGCTGCTACAGCACAGCAAGGGCCATGGTTGAAACAGAAATAAGGGCTCTTGTTCCCTTACATCCTGTATCATAGGGATGCTCAGCCACGTCCTTATATAAGGATAGCTTATAATGTGCTCTGTGAAAGGAAGGGAAGAGCCACCACACGGCCCCTAAAAGTCATGGGCTGCAGGAGGCCAAGACTCAGGGGAATTACCTACAGCAGACTCTGAATTGGCAGCTATGCAAATGAAGAGGATGATCAGAGATGGAGAGGAAGAGGGGAGGAGGCAAACATGGGTAATTCCAGTTCCACACAGCCAGCATGTGCGCACACACACACACACACACACACACACACACACACACACACCCACACACACACACACACACCCACACACACACACACACACCCACACACACACACACACACCCACACACACACACACACACCCACACACACACACACACACCCACACACACACACACACACACACACACACACACACACACACACACGCCTGCTGCTGTTTCTCTGGACCTCGGCTGGAGTCTAGCCAGCTTCCTGTAATTCTACTTGCTTAATCTGGTAGCCTGAGGGTGCGTTTTGGAGCTGTGTCTGCTGCTGTCTTTGAGGCAGGGGCTTCATTTATTTCAAAGTCACTGAGCACCTGCTGTGCTTAGAGCAGAATTGGGCCAGCACAGGCACAAGCTGGAGGGCCAGTGGCCCTTGGGAGCACAAAATGACAATAAACAAGGAAAAGGATAAATAAACAGGAGGCTGTGAGGAACAGTGAGGTGGGGGAGGAGCTTTCTAGTACTAGTTCGTGGTGGGACCCTGGGGACAGCCTCTAGACAAGGCCAGCAGGAGGACTTAGAGGAGCCAAGGCAGGCAGTGGAGGCTTGGTGGGCTTGCAGGCTGCCCCCAGGCATGGCCAGAGGCCAAGAGGAAGGAGAAGCTGGAAGAAGCCCAGTGTTCTTGAGCAAGCCCCAAGGATGATTCAGGAGGCCAAGGCTGCAGACAACAGGAAACAGCCGCCTGCCAGCTCAGGGCGAGCAGCAGACAGGCCCAGGAGCCCCAGCAGCTAGGCCACCTGCAGGAGCCAGGAAGAGCCTTGTTACCTGGGCAAGCTGAGCCCCAGGAGAAGAGGACGCAACTTAGCCCACCTGAGACAAGCCCAGAGCCCCCGACCCGCAAGCTCCTGGCAAAGGTTTCCTGGCCTTTCCCTGCTTCCCTGTGCCTGTTGGGCACAGCAGGTTTGTGACTTGCGGGGGAGCTTCCTGCATCAACCTCACGGCACTCACTAACACATGCACTCTGTGCCCTGTGTTGGCACTGACCTTGTTCTCACTGTGTTGAAAACAACTCGAAGATGCTGTTCTTTGGTATCTAGAACGTGCCCAGCTCCAGGAAGCTCCCTCCTACTGTGGGCTAATCTCTGCCACCTCGCCTCAGTCTTGGGGGTTGGCTACCAGCAGTGGGGGCCCTGTTCCCAGGTCGCCCAGCCCCTGACACCACTACTACCCTCAAGCCCTCGTACCCGGGGGTCGATCACCAGGTAGGTTCGGACGTTCATCTCTTTCAGGTAAGGGTCTCTCTGCTGCCCGTGCCCATCCTCCACCTCGTATGCCTTGTCCAGGTGGTTTAGTGTCGCTTCAGTGATGTGCACCCGGCTGGGGAGACCCAAGTCAGATTAAGGCAGCAGGGCCCAGGTACCTGTCTGGAGATGTACAGCAGGCAGGGTGGGCTATCCCCTGCCTCCACACCGGCCCCTACCCCAACCGTCCTCCAGCCAGAGTCAACCCCCTGCCTCTGCCCTGCCTTGCTGAACCTCACCCAGGCACTCCAGCCGCCTCCATCCTGTTAGCCAAGGACACATCATGAGACCACACATCATACTGCCACTTTCGGAGTCCGATGACCCCACACAGCACGTTCCCCGAGTGGATGCCCACACGCATGCTGATGTCGACACCTGTGGCCTCTCGCACCTGCCTGGGCCAGAGAAGTCTGTCACTCACAACAGCCACAGGACCAGCTTGGAGGTCCTGGGTGAGGCAAGGCACAGGGGAGGGGGTGGAGCACCCCCAGCTCTCACACCCCAACTCTCACACCCAGCTCAAGGGGAAATAGGGAGGAGGGGCTTCAGCATGCCACTCATGCTGGTGGGCCACAAATCTGACACTGGTGTCCCTTGCTGACTTGTGGCCCACCAGCATGAGTGGCATGCTGAAGGAATGCCACTCATCCCTGTCAACCCTGGTTGACTCTGACGAGGCTGCCAGGGTTTATAAAAGGGTTGGACCCTACCAACACCCAATATAGACAAGGACCATGGTGCTTCTCTACCTCCAGCTTTAGGAACTGAGAGCCCTACAAGGAGCCACCAGAAGAGTTTCCCAGGACACACCTCCAAACCCAGGCTTGAGTAGGGCTCTGCATCCCGAGTCCAGCAACAAACAAGAGCCACCAGCACCTGTGTCCACCACCAAGGCTGGGGAAAGGCCAAGCCCACCAAGGCCAGAGCCGGTAGGAGAAAAAAGCCAAATCCACATAGCACCCAGCCCAGGTACAGCCATATCCTGGAGCTCTGTGCCCTGACTATCCCAGCACTTTGAGGAGACTTTGGAGGAACCGTTAACTGGCACTGGGATTGGCTCCTACTCTATCTCATGATTCTTTCCCTATACCACAGAGCACCTCAAGAACTGAATGCCATCAGGGAGGGGTCCAGGAGACCCAGGTCTCCCTGATGCAGCTGGACAGTCAGTCCCCTGGCACCAGAAGCTTCCCAGAGGACCCTGCCTCTGGAAGGCCTTCCTGCTGTCTGCCCTGAACTTCTGCTGTCTCAGTCCTTTGAAGGGTAGAGCCCAACTACCCAATCTCACATCACCCAGCTCAGCATTTGAGATGCTTCTAGGTCGTGGAATCTCGGGTGGGCCCAGAGGAGGCTGACAGGGTTTGAATCCTCCCACTGGCAAGCTGAGAATCCAGCCAAGCACCCACCCCGCCCACCTCAGTTTGAGGAGTAAAATGGCAGTGAGACATGTCCGCCTGCCTGCACCTACTTAATAGCCTCACAAATATCCAGCCCCATCTTCACACAGTTGCGGGCATGGGTGGGCAGCGACACAGGAAGGCCTGAAACGCAGTAGTAGCAGTCGCCCAGGATCTTGATCCGCATGCACTCATTGGCCTGCAGGGTAAGCGAGCAAGAGGCTGCTTAGGGTGGGTCTGGATCCACACATTGAGCAGCTGGACCCCTTCCTGCCTGGGGTGGTCTCCAGTGCTGGCCACCGGCAGCAGCAGCCGAGCCCAGCAGAAGGAGTGGGGACCATGAACCTAAATAAAAGCAAGGCTTAGGAAGGGCTCTGTGGGAGGGCCTGTCTTTGTTCCATTTGTCCGTGCAGTATTTGAGCATCTACTGTATACCTGACCAAGTAATAGGGTGTAGTAACCAACTACAATTGTACATCTTGAAGCTGAGGAGTGTTCTTGCTGGCAGGAGGTTGGACACTGAGCTAAATCAATAAAATGGGGAGATGTGTCCAGGAGAAGGTGAGGCACTAGAGGAAGGGCCCAGGAGGCCAGAGGCCTTCCTCTGAAAGTAACATCTGAGCAAACACCCAAAGAAGCAGCCAGGAGTTACAGCAGGCGACAAGTGAAACCAAAAGACGCAATGCCACTAGGCTTGGGGGGGTGGGGACCAAACAGAGAAGGGAGATGGGGTAGGAAAGCCAACAGAAGGTACAACAGTCCTCACAGGAAATGCCCTGGGAGGGAAGGACCCTGGACAGGGGTAGGCAGTTCTACCAGGGCAATGAATGCTACAGCCACCAGTCCCCACGAGTCCCCAGCATGGAGCTACATGTACCAGAGCTTTGCAGTTGGGGGTGTAAGAAAATCTGTGAAAGGGGCCCCATGTCAACACCAGCCTTTGCTTTATAGTCCCTGAAACCCTACTGGCCCATCTCCTAGGCACCCCAGCAGGCGGCCTGCCCTCTGGCTCTCAAGGGGAGGAATTTGGGGGCTGGTGCAGACACTTCTGTTCCCTCCCACAGGGAAGCTAAGGCCAGGCCTGCCCTATGCCCAGCCAGTGCTTGTCCAGCTTCTGGTCCCCTCAAACTCCTGAGCAAGGGCAGGGCAAGCCTCAGTCACACAGCTCAGTGCTGAGGCTCAACAGTGCAGGGAGATTTGGTAAAGGAAGACAAGTCTTTGGTACTTGCCACACATCCCAGCACTGTCAGGACAAAGCCACTCCTTGTCTGTCACCCTCACACCTGGCTCCACATGCTAAGCTGTGTGCATTCCGTGAAGACTGAGCTTTGTGTCTGCTCCAGGCCTTCGCACACCTGTTCCCCTACCCCACGTGCTTCCCTTCCCTCCTTGGGTCTCTTGCAGGTTTCTCAAACTTTTCTGTCCACAATGCTCACCTGGGAGTTTGTCAAACACAGACTCTGGGTGAGAATGAGCATTATGTAGTGCTCTCAGACCCCCCAGCAAGCCGAGGCAGCAGGCCTTGCAACCATCTCTTCCAGGCTACCGATCCAAGCCCCCGTCTGAGCTTCTGGGCCCACAGACATCCCAGGCACATACTCCATGTCCCTGCTGGCCTCCTGCTGGAGCATGGACCAGCTTCTGCTACTTGGCACTTCCCTCACATGGGGTGTTTAGAAAAATACCTGCTACTTAGACATTAAAATTCTGCCCCAGCCTCCTATCAGCTTCCAGCTCAAGACACATGACACCCTATGGAGACAGCAGAGGCGACTTCTCCATCATCAGGGTAAGCGCACAGCCAGGCTTACCTTGGCAATTTGGTCGAACTTCCCGAAGAGCTCATTGAGCACCACCACCAACTCCTTTGGAGAGCAGTCACTGGCCAGCTGCGTGAAGCCCACGATGTCTGCATACAAGATGCTGGGACAGGACAGAGCTTGGGTTAGACCCCTGATAGGTGGCCCTACCTCTGCCCCCATTAGTCCTAGTGGCCAGAAGAGGTGCCCCCAGCCAGCTTGACCCATCCAGAGGCCTCTCACTGGACAGGACAGAGCAGAGCCAACTACAGGCCTGTTACTTCTCAGCTCCCAAAACCCCTTCACCTTCCCAGCATCTGCACCTAGGGAGCCAGAGACCTGAACTCCTGGGATATCACCCACCCCCCATACCTCTGGTACTCCCCATGTCTTCAAAGAACCCCAAGTGATCAAGCTGAGGTTGGGGGAGGTGAGCCATGATGCCTTCAGGCCTCCCTGTGTTCCACGACCTAAAAGCTCCAGGCAGATGTGGCCCAGACTTGTGGTGAGGGATGTCTGCTGGGACAGAATGCTGGCCTTTGGGCAGAGGCCCAGGTGGAGCTTGAAGTACTCACTCTATATCACCTCCCAGAATTTATACTGTCAAACCAGCAAGGCCAAGTTCCAGGACTGGGGGCTCCTAGCCACCAAGATCAGGGGGAGCTTCACCTCCTTTTGGGAAACCATCAGGAAGGACCCGTTCCTTCCTTTCCCATCAATCAGTTCCCACCACAGTGAGGGCAGTGATAGGCCCAAGCCCTGCTCACCTGACATTCTGGTGCCGCTTGACATAAAGGCTGTGAAAGTTGTTATCAGGCATGTAGCTGCGGTCCCCACTCTCTTTGAGCCGCTCAATGATGGCCAGCTTCATGCCCATGGAGATGTGTGCTGGGAGCACTGAAAGCAGCAGGTTCTCCTGGACACGGAAGAGATCAGACCAGTGGGGGAAGGGCATGGGGCAGGCAGGGTACTGTCAGGTCCTGGGCTTCCTACCCATTCTTCCTGCCCATTCTGCCCACACTGTTCTCTGCTGGCCTACATCCGTCCAGCATCAACCTAGCAGAGCACATACCCTTCCGATCACCACAGCCCCCTGGCATGAGACCTGCAGAAGACCTGCCATGTGGGCCACACTGTAGAACTCAGCCCAGTGGAGAGAGGGAAATGAGGAGATGGGAAGGGAGGGTGCAGGTCCCCACCTGTTGGCGCTTCTCCACACGCAGCTTCCTCCGGATCTGGATGCACTTGACGGTGTAGGTGAAGAGGTCTCGGGAGGCATCCTGAAGCTGGTGCTTGTGGAAGGCACCAGTGAAGTTCCCACCCAGGAGGATGACAGCATTGGCCAGCAGCTGAGGGCAGCCAAGGGCAGCATTGCTGGGCCTGCCCACCTGCCCAGCACTAACCCCAGCAGACATGATGTATTTGACCCCCTTCTCTGGCCCAAATGCTCTTCAGATTGGCATTTTTCCTGGACTAGGCAGGGAAACTGAGGCCCAGATGGAGGCTGGTGTCTTATGAGTTACTGTGACCAAAGGATGAGGACTTGGGCCTTCTCTGTTCTACCATGCACATGCCCTGTCTACTAAGGCCAGGGCACCAGAGACCAGGGATGCCAGTTCTTCCATGGAGATGGTGGCCACCTCACTGAGCCAGGGACCAGTCACAGAAGGCACAGTACCCAGCTGGCTGCTCAGAGCTCCGGCCTCCTCCCCTAGGAGTAGACATCCAGGCTGATCCAGAGAAGACACATCCCTGCACCCTAGGGATGTGAATAGGAGGTGTGCTCACTGAACAGAGGCATTCACATGACCTGGGGGACTCTCAACCTGGGACAAGACCCTGGGGAAAGAGGCCAGGGAAGGACCTCACCACAGCAGAGCCCTGTCCAGCAGCTGAGTCCACAGATCATCCTAGACCAATAGTTAAGGCCAAAAGGACAGGGCCCTGTCTGCAGCCACCTGTCTGCAAGCAGGATCCCAAGGGCTCTAGATCCAAGCGTGGGGCCTTGCCTTCCCCTGGTCCCAACCCCTGCCAGGCCAGAGCCTCCCCTACCCAGCCTCTGCCACCCTCACCTGCAGCCACAGCTGTGTGCCAGTCAGGGACATCCTGAAGGCTCCTGTCACAGCGCCAAACACCAGGAGGTGGGAGATAGTGGAGACTAACCCCACTGTGACAGCAGCTCGCGTGCTGAGGGGCAGCAGTGCATACACCACGAATACGATGAACAGGAAGAAGGGCACCTGGGGACAGTGCCCTCAGAGGTTAAACATGGCTCAGGACCAAGCAGATGACGAGGCCCACAACTTCTTGTCACCTGGGACATCTCCACCCCAGGGTCCCTCATCTCTCCCCCACATAGTGAGACGGAGAGGCAGATACACAGGACAGGAAGACCTGGACTACCTTACCTATCCTCTCCCGCATACTGACTTACTGTCTGTAGCTGAGCCCTCAGAAGGTTACCTGGTGGGATAGGGCCTGGTCACCTACTGCTTCCACAGGCAATGCAGCTTCACCTCCCACTTCCCCTTCAATCTATAGTTCCGTGAGCCTGACCTCACCCAACCATAGGCACAGGAATAGGCAGAGTGAGTCACACTATGGCAACAGTGACCATCTAGGCCAGGCTAGTGCAACTCAACTCCAGGATTCAGGCTGGCTGAGAAAGGGCTCCTTCAGCTGGGATGGCTTAGCATACTGGATAAGCAGTCACCTATGTCTCCACCTGGGGACAACGTGCCCAGGAACAAAGCAACAGAGGAGAGTGGAGTGGCCAGGCTGGTCCAGAGTTGTAGGATCTAACCAGCCGCCAGAGCAAAGAGCAGCCCCTCAGCCCTTCCTGGCACATGAGCCCATTGGTACTTTCTTGCCTTTTTGAGTTATAATTCTGTCCCCTCTAGCCAAATAGGGTCTAACCCAAACTGACACAGGCACTCAAGGGAACACTCCTCCCCTCAGCCCCAGTGTCCAGGGCCACCCTGAGTTGTGGAGCCACAGCCTGAGGAAGCGGGAAGGTCACAGCCACAAACATGCACAGGACCACTCATAATGCTGCCACAGTGGGCTACAGCTGCTGAGTGCACAGCCCAGTTGGTGGCCCCCAAGTCCAAAGATGGTAGCTCCCACCATTACCTGCTCCCACGCACAGGCCTCTTTCTTCCAGGAGTCCCACACCAGCATGGAGCCCAGCATCATGAGGCAGACCCAGGTGAGCAGAGCCAAGGCCTGCAGCCATCGCCGAACCAGGCACTCAACATACACCAGCACATAGAGAACCACAAACAGCGTCAGCATGAAGAATGAAGTACCCAGAATGGCCTGGTGTCTGGAGGGATCCTGGGGGGAGGAAACAGACACAGAATGCCTGGGCTTTCTCCAATGGGGCACTGACTCCTCCAGGAAGTCTGCCTTCTGCACTGGGCTTCCCTGGCACTAGTCCCCACACAACTTCAGGCCTGTGTACACTGCCATTCTACTAGAGCTGTCTTTCCCAGGCATTGATTGCTAAGCATCTTCACCCTGCCCACAGAGGCCACTGTGCTACCCTGTGGGGACAGGTGAAGCCATAGGAGCCAGAACAAGGTTCTTTTCTGGTAAAGCCTTGGTGAAGTGTCCGGAGGAGAGGACTTGGTACCTGACTCTTTGAGGTCAGGGTTCTGATGGATGCAGAGAGCAGGTATCCCACATGGGGGAAGAGGGGGGCACTGGAATAGAGGTACAGATGGGACGAAGGGCCCCAGAACCCCCACAGACCCAAAGGTTCTTGAGGGCAGAAGCCTGATCTAAGGAGTACAATCAGCACCATCAGCACCTGGAGAGTGACAGGAAACTGCTGTCTTGTGTTGCAGACCCAAGGTCCTGTCTGCCCTCTCGGTGCCCTAAAGAACACTGGCCATCTGATGCAGAGTTCCCTGTGGTCTCTGATTTCACTTCAGGAACTTAAAATTATGTTACAATAATTAGCAATAAAATGAAAAAATCCAGGTCCTCAGTTATGCCGGCTGCATGCTGAGTGACCAACAGCTGCACGCAGTTAGCAACTGCAGCAAAGCAAGGGCACGGGTCAGGGTAACGCTGCCTGCACCTGCCCCGAGAGCTGTGTTGAGAAGATTCTGAGCCAGGCATGGGGACACATGTCTCCATTCCCAGGACTTGGGGGGTCTGAGGCAGAGAAAAGCTGTGAATTCAAGGCTATATCATGAGACCTTGTCTCAAAACAAAAAAGGAGGAGGAGGAGGAGGAGGAAATTTCAGCACTCTAGGAGTCAGGCAAGAGGGTTGCCTTAAGTTTGAAGCCAGTCTGATCTAGGTCATCCTTAGCTACTGAATGATACTGACTCAAAAGCAATGCAAGGGCCAGTGAGTTTTCTCAACAAGTAAAGGCACCTGTCAACCAAGCCTGAGTGTGAACCCTGGGACCTATACGGTAGAAGGACTGAACTGATGTCTTTCACATATACACCCACACATACGTGTTCGCATACCCAAAGTAAGTAAATGTAATTTTTTTTAAAGCTACTAAATGGAGCTGGGCATCGTGGCACACTTCTGGCCCTGGGAGGCAGAGGCAAATGGATCTCTGTGAGTTCAAGGCCAGCCTGGTCTACATAGTGAGTTCCTGGCCAGCTGGGGCTACAGGGAGACCTTGTCTCAAAAAGACTGAGGATGAGGACGAGGATGAGGAAGAGGAGGAAGAGAGGAGGCGGGGGAGAAAAATTCAGTGACTACAGCCAGACTCAGGAAGGAGTGCAGGGATTGACTGGTGATGTCTGCCATGGCTGTAAAAGAGAAGGAAGTGGCAAACAAGCCCTGAATCTAGTCTTTAACATTGAATTTCATGGTGAAACCAAGAGTGAGTTCCTTGGTCTAATGAATGTGATAGCTAAAATCACCCCGACTTCAACATCAAATTCAGATTAACCTGTTTCCACCCACCTAGCAGTTCACACAGAAATTAGAAAATGAGGCATCAGGAAGGCACCACCTTGCCCAAGCTTTCCCACTAGGGGGTGAAGACCAAACCAGCACTTAGGGCCTCACCCCATGGCTGAATGAGATGCTGATGAGTGCAATGCAGGCAGCCACAGCCACCAGGAGGAGCAAGAGCAGCAGTGGCCCATGCTGGCTGCTGAGGCGGTACTTCTCATAGAGTGCTGCCTGGTCCGCGCCCTCCTCGCCCTCATTGAGGAAGTAGCGTCCTTTGGTCGGCATCCTCGTCCCCAGTGCTCTGGCTCAGCAGCCTGCTCAGGAGCCCCACGACCTTTGACGCATCTGTCTGCTGATACCCTTGTCTGTGACCTAGGCCTCTGGCCTCTCTGGGACTAGCAAGCAGAGCCAGGCAAAGGTACCCTGGGTCTGTGGCTTCATGGGCATGTGGCCCCTGTTCCAGCCACTGTGTCTTGTTCACTGAACCTCTGGTGTCTTCAGGGTGTCTAGGATGAAATGACAAGTCACTCCAGGTCCTCAGATCTGTGGAGACAAAGCAGACTAAGAATTTGATGCCAATAGGCCAAATCAGGGAAGCTTGGCATGAGGGGAGGCAGGGCAAGGTCTTTCTAGAATTGCAATCTTATCCAGTAACCACTGACCACATGTGAACCCAAAGGCATTAAAAATAAAATTACGGGGGCTGGAGAGATGGCTCAGCAGTTAAGAACACTGGTTGTTCTTGCAGAAGACCCGGGTTCGAATCCCAGCATCCACATGGCAGCTAACAGCTGTCCGTCACTCCAGTTCCAGGGGATCCGACAGCTTCTTCTGTCCTCCACGGGCATTGAACGACACGGGTGCCCTTACCTATGTGCAGGCAATACACGCATACACATAAAATAAAAATAATAAATATTTAAAAAATAAAAAATAAAATTATGGGAGCCAGGCATGGTGGCACACACCTTTAATCCCAGCACTCAGGAGGCAGAAGAAGGTGGATTTCTGAGTTCGAAGCCAGTCTGGTCTATCTAGTGAGTTCCAGACCAGCTAGGACTACAGGGAGACCCTGTCTCAAAAACAGAATAATAATAAAATTATGGAAGCTGAGCACGTTGGCCCTTGGGAGGCTGAGGCAGGAGGACTACCAGTTTGAGGCTGGCCTGGATTACATAACAAGGCCCCCATCTAAATAAATATCCCTCAGTCCCTCAGTCCCATGAGTCACTTTTTAAGAGCCCACAGGCACACATACTGCAATGGATGGAACAGACCCACAGCATCTCTATCACCATGGAAACTGGTACAGCACACTGCCACTTAAAACCTGACTGAGCTGCTTCCTATGCTGGGTTCTGACCCCTAGGGATTGTGTGCGTGGCATGAGGTTGGGCCCACACTCATTCCTTTTTTTACTTCGATCACTAATGATCTCCACAGATCTCTCAGCATTTCTTTGTTCCCCGAGCTTCAGTAGAGGTGCCTGTCAGCTCAGGTGAGCATGCTGTGGGATCTGGTCCAGCCTCTGCTCTGTTCCCAGCATCCCTGTGTAAAGGGCACACTCTCTGGATGCCTGGGGTTTCATAATGAGTCTTGGTCTTCAGGTCCACAGGGCTCCAAACACAACCTTGCATCCTTATGGGTGGTTAGGAAGGTTGCAGGACCTTAGTTTCCGTGCTGCTTGCTTCAACGAGGGCATCCCTCTGCATCTGTGTTACACTAAGCCACTGCAGGAGACCATGTTTTCTTTATTTTTATTTGTGTGTGTGTGTGTGTGTGTGATTGTGTGTGTGTGTGTGACTGTCCATGGAGGCCAGAGGATGGCATCAGATCCCCTGGAACTGGAGGTGCAAGCAGCTGTGAGCCTGTGTTTCCCCCACACCTGCAGTAAGTGCTCTTAACCACTGAGACATGTTTTCACTGTGTAGCCTTGGCTGGCCAACAGCAGACCAGGCTAGCCTTTAACCCACAGAGCTCCCCTGCCTCTGTCTCCCAAGTGCTAGGATTAAAGGCATGTACTACCATATCTGGCAAGATGTGCTTTCTTTCTTTTTATCTATTTATTTTTATTTTATGTGTATGAATGTTTTGCCTGCATGTATGTAAGTGCACCTGTGTCATACAATGCCCACAGACGCCAGATGAGGACGTCAAGGTCCTGCAACAGGAATTATAAACGGTTGTTAGCTGCCACGTGAGTGCTAGGAGCCACCAAGGTCCTCTACAAGAGCCACCAGTGCTCTTAACCACTGAACTGCCTCCAGCCCCTGAGATGGACCCATGGACACATATTTTCTAATATGGGGACTGAACTTTGACATGCTAGGCAGCACTCTGTCACTGAGCTGCACCCCCAGCCTTCTTTCTCCTTTTCATTTTAAGACAGGGTCCCATCAAGTCACCCAAGCTGGCCTGGAACTTGGCATCCTCCTGCCTCAGCCCCCTGTGTAGCTGGAATTACACTGTGCCCAGTCCACTGACACAGATTTAGGAAGTTTGCAAGTTCCACCTCACAGAACAGGAAGCAATTAGAAGCACAAGGGAGTCTTTGTGACGAGACTGGGGATGGACTCAGCTACAGGACTCCCTCTGTCCCTGGCACCATCCACCCATCAGCATAGCCATATACTCCTAAAGGGCTTCTTAGCCACATTTGTGGCCTGCAAACCTGGTCCACCTCCTAAGGGTCAGGTTGACCTTCTCTCTTCCTATCCTTCTAGGGGAGAGGTGACCCCAAACCATGTAACTCTCACACAGCAACTCCACCTGGGCAGCTGCCCTATTTCCAGGAGAAGTCTTGCATCGAGGAGTTACCCTGTTCCAGGCATCAGGCTGCCTCCCACCCCCAGGCCTGCCTCCAATTGAGGAGGACAAGGTGGAGGGCACAGGGTGAGCAGGCTGTTGGACACAGGATCTTAGGGAGGTCACGAGAGTCACAAACAGCCAGCTGCTGGCAGAAGCACCAAGAAAGACTGCCAGCCAAAGCCCTCAGAGGCTGAAGGGCAAGCTAGCCCAGAGCCCTGCTCCTAGGGTAGCCCGCTTAGTGCCCACTGCTGTGAGGTCCCTGGGCGCCTCAAAGCTCTGCAACTCCCCCCACCCCCCTCACAGGCCCAGGGACAGAATGGGAAAAGTTCAGATCTAGGGTGGAAGGAAGGGCTGTTGTCCAAAGCCCTGGTTCCTGAGCCTGAGCAGCTGTCCCTAGGCCATCACACTTGTCTAACCAGAGGCTTCTGGATATGAGGCCAGGTTTCCTAAGGCCCTACAGCAGTAGGCATGCTGAAAACTATTTTCTAGGGGAATACAGCTCTTACAGGCAAGCAGTTCAAGCCTGTAAATATGCAGCACCCTAGTTAGCCTCCCCTAAATCTAAGAGAGCCAGCGTCACTTACACAGAAAGCACTGAGTAAGCACCAACTGTATGTACCCAGCCCTGTGCTGTAGGGCTGCAGAATAAGACTAGGTTGAGCCCTGAGCAGTGCCCAGCCAGGGCCCTGAAGTAGCTCTGAGTAATTGCATACACATTCACACCATTTCATAACTGAGGAACGAGCTATTTCACAGCTGTAGATGTGAGAGGTGTAGTAGCTTGCCTAAGATCACACAGCTAGAGGTGCTTGTCAGAAGGGTTAGGATTCAAGCCACAGCTCCTGGTCCCAGGCCACCCTTAGAAGACCAAACCAAATGCCACAAGCACACCAACAGCAGTCCTGCCTGCCCCTCTGGTCCAGTGCCAAACACCAGCACACTGGGATTGCTGGGCTAAGAAGCCCCAAATACCAAGGGACTGAGACAACTCTCCAGAGCTGCTCCATCCTCCAGGCAAAGCCAGACCAGGGCTGTGGGCCACCAGGATACGTGTGGGTGGCGTGAGATTACACAGATACACACTCCAATACACGTCTCCTCAGGCCCCAGACATGACCTGTCTTCCCCAGGCACAGAGCCAAGTTAAGGTGCAGAGAAGCTGCTGGAGGTTCCTGAGAACCCATGGGAACCCAGGCCTGGGAAACACTACCTTGGGGGATCTAATTAGGCTACTTCCTGGGCAACAGGGGCCAGGGATGGAAGTGGACAATGGGCAGCATCAAACACAAGGGTTCAACCCACCCAGGACCCTCATTCAGCTCTGGGAACAGCTGAGCAAGGGAAAGCAGGACCACAGCTGTGAGCAAAGACTGTTGGAGAGGGACCAGGAACCTAGCACCAGCAGCCACCTGCCTCAGTGCCAGTTCCAAAGCCAGATCCAGACATACCCCACAAGGAGAGGATTCGAGCCCCTCTGCAGAATCACTGCTTCCAGCTCCTGCATCAGCTGGCACCTGGGAACCCATTTGTCATGGCTCTGTCCAAAGACCCTGCAGCTGGGCAAGTGAGATGGTACAGAGGGTAAGAACATTTGCTGCGCAAGCAGGAGGGCCTGAGTTCAAGTCTCCAGAATACACATAAAAAAGCTGAGTGTGGTCGTGCATACTCCTGTAAACCCAACACTGGGGCAGGGAACAGAGGCGGGTGGATCTCTAGGGTTTCCTGGTTGCCGGCCTTGCTGAAAAACTGAGAGCTCCAGGCTTGGTAAGAGACCCTGTCTCAAGGGACTAAGGCGGAAGGTAATAGCACAAGATACCCAGCATCCTCCTCTGGCCTCTGCACGTGTGCATGGGCACCCACTACATACAAGTTCATTTAAAAAACCATACACCATGAAAACTCCATTTAATTCTAGGGATATAAGGATGCTTTCCTATGCACAACAGAAAAAATGGGATACAGTGACGGGGGGAGAGGAAGAAAACAGGAGTGTCCTTGGACTTGCTGACTGCCAGCCTAGCTCCAGGTTCATTCATTAAGAGACCCTTTCTCAATGGAAGAAGGTAGACAGAGAACGGCAGAGCAGGACACCCAACATTTTCTTCTGGCTTCCCTGTGAGTGCATGTAGTGGCACAGGCAACAACATGCACGCATACACATACACCACACACACACACACACACACACACACACACACACCCTGCAGCCTTGATTTGCACACCTCAGTGAAGAGAGGCTCACCACCCCTCAAGAAGTCTCTCCCACCCCTGTGCTCACTGCTGACCTAGGGTGCACCAAGCCCCAGCCTCCCTGAACTCCTCCACTCCTGCTTTGCTGATCCTGTCTGAACTCCAAAGCTACTTGGGGGAATTAGGGCTCTTTCCTTCAGGGACTACAGCCCCTAAACTGAAGGGGTTCACTTTTCCAGCACCTGCTGGCAAGCAGCCTCATTTTAAAAAGCAGATGACCCTGCCATGGTCCAGATGACCCTACCACGGTCCAGATGACCCTTCCATGGGAGCAGCTGAGTAACTCTTAGCCATCTGGCTCAGGGGTCTCATGACCTGGATGTGGCTGGAGAGTTTAGTCCCTTTTAAGCTCAGTTACAAAATCATTATAGTGAGAGACTTTTCAGGCATTTGCTACCCCAGGGAAAGAACTGAGGCCAGAGCATGGAGCTGCTACAGGAAAGAGCCCCTAGCCCTGAGAATGAAGCCGCCGGGACACACTCAGG